AGTAATATAAATACACAAGATATCCCACTTTTCAATATCGATAGTTGAAAAGATTGTTCTGATATCTGGTTTGTTGGCTCAATGAAATATTGTTTCCTTGAGTTGGAAAAGTGTGGCCAGCATTAAGCGATTTCCAGTGCAAGTGACTCTCTTTACTTGCACCAAACAAAACACTTGATTAGTCTCGTTTACGTGATCTTCACTGATCGTCATTCAATGTCACTCAGAGTCGATCGGAGTAAACAAGTTGATGAATGCAAAGCCACTTGAACTTGCCTATTTGATGAGAAAGCAAAACTCGAAAGGTTTTGTATTTTCATTGTTTTCATTCGACTGATGCAAAAGTTTAAAACACTTTGAGCATAAATCATTGATAAGGTGGGTCAACTTTTCAACAGTCTTCAGTCTTGTTGCCTTGTAATTTGTAATACAACACTTTTGTTTCGTCAACTTTACAGTCCAACAAATTCCAATTCAATGTAAAACTGAATATATTCATACTCTAATGATCAATTATATTTAAATAGTTATCATTCTATCTGATAATCCCATGAATCCCAAATCAAGATGAAAGATGGTAATGCAAGAAAAAAGAAGACACAAAAAGTCATTCAAGGTGTGACTTGAAGTGTCAATATAATGCAACTGGGAGTTGATAGTGAGAATAATTTTTTTGGTGAAATGGAAAAATTTTACCTCAAATAATGATAATCTCAACTACAGGTTATACAAATATATTTTGGAATCAAATTTTCGTAAATAATTTCCGTCAACTTTATACATTTATTGACAGCAATTCAAATGAATTGAATAACAACAATAACGACAAAGTAGAAAACATGGAAAATAAAAATTTAAATAGAAAAAATGAATGTTCTTCTCATGAACATATGATGATAAGAAGAGGAATAAATAGATTTTTTCAAAATGATATTGGATCGAAAGAAGAAGAAAAGTAAACCTTTATTCAATTCTCTCTTCACTCCCAGCAAAAAACTCCCTGTAAATGCATTCATAAACTTGAATGTTGAAATTTATTCACCATTTCAATGTAAACTTGTTTTCCAATTAGGTAAAGTTTGTGAAGAAAAAGATGAGAGAAAAAGAAAAGTTCGAGAAAAAAACGGAAATTAGTTTTTACCAACTTTCAATATCCGGTTGATTCTGTGAAAGCAAAAGTTCTATTGATCTGATAATTCTAACCTTTTTATTCTGTGGTTTCCCAATGTATACCTTGATATTGTACAGTTGAAAGTCATGATACTTGCATAATTGGTTGTAAAGTGCTGATGGCTAAAAATGAAAAAAAATGTTTACTCAAAACTCGAAAATGAAGTTTCGCTTTTCGATTTATTTTGACAAAAAAAGTTATTTTTTCCTGAAAAATGTTGTCACAAAAGAGTTTTGGAAAACTTGAAGTGAACATGAAAATTTTGCTCCAAAAATACCTTTTAGTGAACAGTTGATTGAACATCAATAAACATTGTAATTATCATCATTTTTATTGTATCCTTTACTTTGAAATATAAAAGCAAAGAAGATAAAAGATGGACAAATGGAAAGTTTAGTCACAAAAATTCCATCATTTTCAATTTTCTCTCAAAAGATTTTCTCTTTTCCATTTCCATTATCATTTCCATGCACTATTTGCACATTAACATTAACCGTTCAAGTATCAGCTTCGGCCAATCATGAGATTTGGAACCATCAAATTTACTCCATTTTTTCAACATTTACAATGGCAACAATTCGTTGGACATTTTACCAAAGCTGCAATTTCGAGGTCGATCAAAAGTTCAATTTTTGCTTCTGCCTTGATTCAATGTTCAATGATAAATTTGAAATTCAATCGAGTTCTGAACAGACTAGAAACAAAATACCAATAGTTTCATTGCGCTTCTAATCGCTACTAAATGTTGATTCAATGTAGTGTCTTTGGTAGAGGAAATGATTTCAACTTAGCAACTAAATTCTGAGTTATTTTTGTGTCGCATTTTGTTATTGAAACAAAATTAGACGATCGTTTGCTCGATTGATTTATTGATTCGTTTTGAGAGAGAAATTGGCAATTCTGAATAATTAGAGACTAAATGCTATTAAATGGCAATTTTTCTTTCTTTTTTGGCTCCGTTTCGTTGACGAGCAAATTTCTATGAAAGCATTTCCTTGTCATCAATATTTTTTTCCTAACTTATTGATTACAATTTATTTATCAATAATTTTGCTTCGAAATTTTCCTCGACGAAAAAATGATAACTCGAAGGCGTCAAATTCAGACAAATATCATTCATTTACTGGAGAATAATTTTTTCACCAGAAAAATGCTAAAAATAAACATTCATTTACAACTCGATGGAAAGTTGAATATTGATTAGTGAAAGAAACGAAAATGTTGAAATGTAAAACGAGAAACATTTCAACATTTGCTTTTAAAGTTGAATGACGAATTGTAAAGTGAAAAAAATGTCATTCTTTGATTAACAAGCAACATGATTGAGTTGAATCTCTGTTGAATGGAAGAAGAAAAAAACAGTTGATTAAACTTTACGGAAACTTTGTTTTTCTCGATTATTTTCTTAAAGAAAAAGAAACAACTCAAGCTTGGATTTACACGACGAGAATCCCATTAGGTCAACATCTCATTTTTACCTGCTTTTTGAATTTACCCTTTTTTCAACTTTGAAACTTTGGAGTTTCAGGTTGAAATGAAAGGTGAAAAAAGAGCAAAGTGAAAAAAGGAAAGAAGAAAAATTCAATATTGAACTTGATGAGAATGTAAATGTCAAATGCAGAAGAAATCAGATCAATGTAGAGTTCACTTGGACTCTAACAGATTCACATGGAAACTTTGATTTTCAATCTCATTTTTACTCTGCAACATCAAGTCATCAACCTCAATACCTTTTCAAGTTGCCATGTTGCCAGATGAAACAAATGCTAAATTCAGTTTTCAATTTGATAACTAAACATTTCAAGTCATCTTTTGAAAACCATTCATAAAGTTCGAGCTCATATAAATGAAGAGTCAATGAAGTCAATTGAGTGATGCAAAGAACGATTTCGATACATTTTTGAATCGGTTTAAGGTTTTTGGAGGAATGAGAATGTATTATGAAGACGGGAATGCAACAAGACCGAAACCTTAAAAAGAGAAAAGAAATCAAAAGATTGCTTCGAATCAAGTTTTTTTGCGTTCGTTGAGGAAACCACTGACGAGATCAAAGATTCAATTTTGAATGTAGAAAAATTGAGATTTTGTTTCAATTTTAGGTTGGTTTGAGAAATTGCTTGGAAATTCATTGGAATTATTCCAACAATTTAATTTTTAGGTTCAATTGGAATTGGCGAAAATAGCGGAAAAGAGATTCGATCGAAAAGCATTTAGGCAAATCGTTCATTGCTTCTTGTTCGCAGTGTTTATTGAACTACTTGAACATTGCAAAGTTAAATGGTGAACATTAATGAATAACGAACTTTATCTTGTTCCTGTTCATCATTATAATCTTGATTATTGCCATAATCAACTTCATTTGCACCTCTTCTTATTGATTCCCTGGCGAATCAAATAGTTGGATGGAAAAAATTGCATGGAAATTATTTATTCAGAATAAATTTGACAGAGAATTATGAATTTCTATTTTCTCTTGTTGCTCTTTTCCCATTTCAATGGAATCGGAAACGAACTCATACTTTGGCAAGAGAAAAAAAAGAAACGAAAATAATAGTAAAAAAGAAAAGTAAATTTTGAATAAATTTCGATAATCCTTTTAACCATTATTCGTTAACACACTTGTTTGTAGTTAATCAATCAAATTACAATTGCAAGTCTAAACATTTAAATGATTAATAAAATGTAAAACAGAACAAAAAACGAACAGAAAAACAAATCAAAATAATGAATCTAAAAATTTAGTGAATCTTAACTTGAACGAAAAGCTTAAATTTATTCAGAAAAAAATGTTGAAAATAATATTCATCTTAACCAGAAAAAAAGCTTATCATGAATGATTTCATTTGAATGCCTAGAAATGATAATTAATGCAGTAAACAGATTGAAGTTGACTTTTGAAAATAGCAAAATATTTAAATATTGAAATTGATAATTATTCAATATCAATGGAAATTGATTAAAAATTGAATTTCAATTGAAAAAGACTCATTTGGAAAGGAACAAAATTGCAAGTAAAAATTGAATAACACAAAACAGTCAAAATCAATGGATTGTTACATCTGTAATAAAAGCACATTGAAATAAATATTGACCCAAAATAGTTACCATGGATTTGAGTGTCTAGTCTTGCATTTATTGGGATTATATGATATTGAGTAAATATCTTCATTTGAATGGATAATAATATTGACATACAATTGATTGGGAATCAATTGAATTGAAAAGCTAATCATTTGGAATGAAAATTGTTTTCAAGAATGAATTCTCAATGAGAAGTTGAATTTACAGCTAAACTTGAATTTTGATTTTGAGTTTTTTAGGGTTGATAGAAATTTCGTTTTCCAAATTTTGGAATAAAATTTTCAAATTTCATGAGTTAGTTTGATGAAAGCATTTATCGAAAAGTGCTTTCTGATGAGAGAAAATTTCGTCTCAATTACATTAAGGCTCAGTGTCTTTACTTGTTACCAATTGAATTGTAAAGTTGACAATCAATGGGTTTACCAATTTCATGTTAACATTGAAGTTGCAGAAAAGGTTACGAAGATGATAGAATGGATGACAAGAAATCAATGTTTTTCTTGCTTCTTTTTCTGGTCCCTTTCCTCATTCAGAATCAATCAGATAAAATCATTCCATTTCCTATCTCATAAATAAATTAATCTCAAAGAGAAATCAAGATTTGAATCAAAATTAAACAACAAAGATTATCGACCAATTTTCCTCTTCCAATTGATCATCATTTTTCTCGCTCTCTAAACATCTTTAAAATCTCTCTTGTGTTTCAATTCATTTGGTGAAAATTCAACGATTTTCCATTTTTGTTCTCTTTTCTCTCTTTTACATTTACAAGTTTAGATTTTTTGTTTTTTCTTCTGATTATTACTGAACAGATTAATGATACTGTCTGTACTTTTCAATTTCAATCCCTTTGTGTTTAATGCTTTTCTTTATCATTATTTATCTCATCAAAGTTGAAAATATTTACTCGCCTGCTTTATCGTTGAACAACTTTTCTCCTGATAATCCTTTAATAACTCTTGTTGAGCTCGTTTCTCATCATCAAATAATCAACAGATTTACAGTTGAACCTGCAAGTTTGAACCATTTTAAATTCAATGTTTGAATCAAATTGTTGCTGTTACTGTTGGATAGAAATTTAAGAAAAACAAATTTTCAGCTTCCATTGAATATCCAAATCCTGAAAGATATTTTCTTTGAGAGGAAAAAGACTGAAAAACAAAAAAAAATGTGTTAAACTGTTGATTGTCATTCAAAATGATTAGTTATTCTTGATTGGCCAATTTTCATTTGAGTGTGGAAAGATTTAAATCAAGTAAAGTTGAATCCAGAAAAGATTAGAATCATTCGTGTGGAAGTTTTCAAACCATTAAAATTATCATCACATAATTGAAAAAATTATGTTTGACCAATTAAAAAGGTGATGAATGATGATGACTACAAGAGTGGTTCCATATGCCATTTGTGCATCTTATTACAAGCGCTTTTTCCTCGATATCCATTGATCATTTTGCTTTTGATGAAAATCTTGGATTACTGAAAATCTGTAGGAGATGAAATTGAAGATGAATTAATAAATGATTAAAATAAGGGAATAAGATTGAATGATGGAAATGAGGAAAACAGTGAAAACAATGAAAATTGTTTACACATTCAAAATTGGTATCAATATGTATGTAAATAAAAGATTTGAATGGTTCATTGAATTCACAATTCAATCTTGTTTACCATCTTAGTTCTCCCTTTTTCCCATATTATCATCATCTTTTTGTTTAAATCACATATAAATATGAGTAAAACCATGAGCATTTATCTTCATGTTGACTGGGAAAAATAGCAACCTTAGTCAGATTAGAATGGTAAAGGGAAAAAGGATAAGAAACAAAACAAAGAAACTGAATCTTCTGATGATATTGTTGTCTCATCTTTTTCCATCTTAACCATCTTCTTGTCTTTAAACTTTTTCCCTTCACTTTTGCTCTTTTCAACGTTGATTCCATCATTCTTTTTTCTCTCCCTTGATTCATCTCCATTCAGGTAAATAAACATGAAATATTGCATGTTTCCACAGATCTTTAGACACACACACATTCAGATTGAAAACGGTGGCAAAATGAATGTTGAACCAAAAAATTGCTTTTCTCTTTTGCTTGGCTTTTTCGTCTTCTTCTTCTGAATTTTTGAAAACATCTTTCTCCATCCAATGCAACTTTAGACTGAGCTTTAAGGTAAACCTAAAAGTAAAGGAGAAAACAAATTTAAAAACAAGAAAATGAAAAAAAAATTGTTCATAACCACGAACAAAAGGGAAACAGAAAGAGAAGAATGAAAAACCTTTTGGAAATTTACCTGAAAAATAAGGTGATATTCACCAAAAAATTGCCATCATTATTGTTATTATAATTGAATTACTTTACAATAAGATTGTTTCCATCAAAACTGTTGTTTACTCAGCACAACAATAATGTTCACTTCATTAACTAGAGATGGAAAAGGGAATAAAAAAACAGGGAAAACTGTAAGTGTATAAGGTACAATCAACATCAAGAAAAGTGATAATTTGAAGATGTTTAGACAATCATAAAATATATGGACAATTGAAGGGAAAAAGCAACAAAACAAAAGTCGTAACCAAAATGAAATATACCAAAATTATTGGATAAAAGTTGAATCTCGCCGATTAATCAAAATGTTTTCACCGATAATGAAATTGCAATGAACATTCTTTTTCCCATTCGACCAAAATTCAATTCAATTTTGCGATTACAATTTAAATTGTTTGTAGCTTTTTCCACTGCTCTTGATGTCAACACACTTACGGATTATACGATGTTAAGCGTCAAAAATTGTAACCACATTTCAATCTTGAGTCATTTCTTTTGGTTCCTTTGCCAGTCTAGAAAATGATGTTTTGTTTTTGCCTCTTTTCCTTCATTCCAAATGAAATAAAATGAAAACTTTGTAAAAGATGAGTTTCCTCTGAGAATCATTTTTTATCCAGCTTTTACCATGAAAAATGCTTGAATATTGTCTTACATCTTTTACCAATGAAATTGTGCTTGGTTTGTAGACTTGTGCATGGAGAGAGAGGAAAAGAAAGCAATAGAATGAACAGCCAAAATGATCATCAAGATAAATAAAAATTTTCTCCATGATTGTGTTCATGTTGAATGGAATAATGTTGAGGGTAAATAAATATCTGAAACACTTTAGAAAAAATTATCGTCACTTGTATCGTTAACATCGTAACCATTGAGTTTATCATCCTTTTTCTGTCATCATTATTTATGTTGACTTTTGCTTCTGTTTCTTCTGCTTTTTCCATGTTTATTATTGAATAACTTTATCCTTTTTTCTTTGCTTTCCTTTGGACAGTTTTTTCTCGTTCTTTTCTTGTTTGTTGCATTCCAAAAACATCTTTTCAGCACTTCATTGGTTTCCGTTGAGAAGAAGAAAAAATCCTTTGAATGTTGAAACACAACACACCACTTTGGTTATCAGCCTTTTCCCATTGTTCAACCATCTTATGCTTTTAGTACAAAATCATTCATTGATTTTGAAAAACAACACACCAATTCATACACATGTTCATGTGTTACATGTTTTCCATGTATGTGGTATTTGAGCAGGAGAGAGAGAGAAGAGGAGAAAATCGAAAAAAATATCGATTTCAATATGGATAAAAATGAAGGAGAAATAATGGCGAAAAAAAGTGAAAGATTATTTCCAGTTTTAGCTGTCTGCTTTATAACATATTTTCAGCTTTTTTTGACAACTATTGGGTTAGCCATAACAAATCAACAAAAATGATCATAAATTGGTTCCTGTTTCCTTGTGTGTGTGATGATAATCCTGTTATCGTAATCATCTCCATCAACCTTTGTTTTTGCAGCCTTTTCCTTGAATTTCTTTCTTTCTTTTCTCTGGCTTTAAATCCAATCCTGTGAGCACATCATTTAGTCATCAGTATCACCATCTTGACTAGAGTTTACCTTTTTTCCCTTTGCCTTTTTTTCCCTTCTTTACCATGATAAACAATGATAAGTTCATTATCCTTCAACAGATATTCCAGTGAAACCAATCGGCTTTTGTTTTGTGTGGTAAACAAAATCATTAATCATTGTTCATTTAGAAGAGTTGATGGGTTCATATTTACTTCACATGGTGTTGATATAAGAGCCATTTAAATCGATTTACTTGTGTCACACTCTAATATCCAAGATCAGGTACATTGATTAGTTTACTTTCATTTTTCTCCATCATCTTGTTTGCTTCTTGTCATTTCCAATATTATCAAATGTGACACAAAAGAGGAATCATCTTGAAAACCCAAATTCATCGAAAAATCAACCTTATTGGAGATTTAATTTTAAACTATTCAATTGTGATTGTCGATTGAGCCACACAGACACACACTTAAATGCCCTGATCAAGAGAAGAGAAAAGAAATGAGTTAAAAAAAGGAAATAAATTGAATTTAAAGAACAAAATGAACAAAGAAATAAGTGATAATAAGAAAAATGAACAACAGTTCAATAAATATTTACTCATCATTTTCACCTCATGATCATTTGCTGTTTCAACGTCAATTGTTTGTTCAATTTTGTCCTCTTTCCTTTTTGATTTTCAACACTTGATCAACAGCCAATTGACTTTGTAAGCAGGGTTCACCTAAATCGCAGTATAACCTTACATAAGTCTCAATATTCAATTATTCTGATCAGAAAAGAGAGAAAAAAATGCACTTATTCGATTAAATATACCAACAGTCATATGTAATAATATTAAGAATGGCAAGTGAAAATCCAATGAGGTAAAAACAAGTTTCCAGTGATGCACCTTGCAAGTCTTAAGTCAGTCTAGAGAGTAAAAAAAGAGATAAATTTGAACTAAAAGAGTTAATCAAATTCATGAGAAAATGAGATTTACGAGAGAGAAAAAAAGGAGATAAAATTATTGCCTTTGAGTGATCAACGAAATTTCATTAAGTACATTTGAAAGAAGAGCTTTCTTTTTCTTGCAATTGATTAAAATTGAAATTCAGTTGATCAATTAAAAGTGTTGAAAAAGGTAAATCTTCAGAACAGATTCAACTGGATAAAGAAAGTAAATGACAAAATGTTGATATCAAAAGACTAATTGGTTAAATTGAATGAAAGTTCATTTGGCAAAAATTGAGGTTAAATCTTGAATTGACTTTTCCTTCTTGGTTCAACTTCTTGGTTTCCTTTTTGGCTTTATTATAAACATCAGCAGACATTTTTTGATATTCACTTTTGGCAGGTTTCATCGAGGTGCTTCATTATTTCCAGTAAAACTATTCTTATTATTATTAAATGATCAACTTGTGATCATCTTGGGTCATCATCATCATCATCTTATTTCTTTGCTATTTCTCCTCATTCAATCTTCACCACGATCATCAACATTGCTTCTCCTTTCAACACATTCCTCCTGGATCATCATCATTATCATCTTCATCATGTTAGTATTGATAAACTCTTTCACCAAAAAGTCTCCTTTAATCTTGAATTCAGTTGATGTTCCAAGCCAATGTCTGCCATCGTCTATCATGTAGAGAGAAGATAACTCTTGAAGAAAGGGATGAAAGAAGAAGAAGAAAAAAGGAAGAGAATGATTGACTGTTAACAAAATGAAAAGGACAAAGAAAAATTTGCATCAAAAATATCTACAATTTCTCATGCAAACTACACTTTTCCCGGGCTTTATCCAATTCCATCATTTATATTTTATTCATCGTCTTCTTGTCTTTCTTACTTATCTAACTTGTCGTCTAAAATTTGAATCCATTTCTGTCAATATATCATTCTCTTGTTTTCATATTACATTATAATACTTTAACATGTAAAGATGACTTTTAACTCTTCCATGATAGTCTCATCACTTTGCCTGCTTTTTCCCTGCACAACGAAAAACCACTACATTCTTTCAGATTTTCCATTGAGATTTCAGTCAGATTTTCTTTTCTTTCAATTATCCTTTTAGATTGTCAATCCAATCTCTTTTTCACTTTCATCACCTAACTTGAATCTTTATCTTTTCACCATTGGAACAGTTTATCTTTCAATCTTTCATTTCTTTCAATTGATTGCGATAGAGTTTCACTTCAAGTTGCATCCAAAATAACAGCAATATCCAGTTGACCAGTAAAGAGTTGTCCATGAAAGGTCTGAGAAAAAAAAGAGATAAATAAATGATAAAAATAAGAAAATGGTTACAAAATGTACTTTCTCTTTTTCCACTCATGAAAAATTGCCTACAAAATCATTCATCAGTTAAACATTTCTTCATAAACAAAAAGACATAAATCTCTTCTTCATGATTATGAATAGTTTTTCATCTTGCGATTCCCATAACTTTATTTCAAACTTTTTTTTATCCTCATTCAACTTTCATGTTGAGAAGAAGCAAAAAAAGCACAGAGAAATATCTTTATCATGAAAATGAAATGAGCAAAGATATACTTACAGAGTAACTCATGTCTTGTTGTGAATTCACAAACTTTCCATAAAACATTATTCCAAGATCAAATTATATAACATTAAAGATTAATTCACTTAAGATTTGTTTCTTGTCAACCTCTGAAATCGGATAACAGCAAACAGAAAAGTGAAAAAACGATCTGCAAAGCAAAGAGAAAAAACAAAATAGAGTTTCTTTTAAAAAACATTTCAATCGAAACACAACCTTCATTGTACATGCATTTTGATTCCATTTTAGTATTCCTTGTTAGATTGTCAATTAAAATGAGCCCATCACCATGTTAGTCAGTGGTTTCATCCATCTTTCCCTGTTAAACTGGATCAAGTTTGAGATATTGTTTTCCTTGCCAAGCTTCCAAAGGCTGCGAAAAACAATTGAGTGGCAAAATCCATCTTTATATTAATGCATACATCTTTGTTTGATGTTGTTGCTTCTTACTTGCTTGATACGTTTCATTGAACCTCCATTTATTGACTTCTCAATCATGTAACGTTGAAAAGTTGACAGAAAAGGGCAGAAAAAGATTTTGAAAAAACTAAGAAACAATAGAGCCTGAAAAGGAGAGAAACAGTGTAAGCAATTGATTGTGTTGATGATGCTTGTTCAATCGATGATCGCAAGCTATTCTCATAGGGAAAATATTTGATGTCAATAAGAATAGATGAAGATGATGGAGGATGATAAAAAAAGAGAAATGATAATATGAATGCAAGAAAAATGGAGGAAATGTAAGTTGAAACGGACATTTACCATTTTTTCAGACTTTTCTGCTTTCGTTATGTATATTACTGTGTACCAAAGCTGGAGGATTGTCTTGAAACAAGAGGAATCTTGCTATTCTGTTATTGTTTTGTCAACTCTTCTTGTATTTCAGGGTTCCTAGTCTCAAAACAAGAGAGCTTTAACCTCGTCCTTAACCATATTTTTTGTCAAATATTCATATATTCAAGCTCTTCTTTTCGCCAGTTTTTAAGATCAAATAAGGAAATCATCAAAAGGATTAGCTTCCTAGTGCTTATAAGAATCTTTTCTTCCTTTTCTTTCCATTGTCTTGGTATTCCTTGAAGATACTGTTTATAATATTGCTGATTTTTGCTTGATTTTTTTTGTCTCCTTTTTCCTCTTCTTCGATAGCTATTGTCTTCAGAAGCTTAATCATTGTTTCAAGTTGGGTTAAAATGTTGATGGAAAGAAGGCTGCAATAATATTAGCAGAATTCATCAGCAAGATTAAGGGATGCTCAATCCAATCAATGTTACTTTTCATTGATGGTTGATGGTGATGAGACAATGTAAAAGCATATTCTTTGTCATCAAAATTTGTCCATCTTTAACTTCTTGTTTTATCAGTCTTTATCATTCTTTAAATGTCTTCTTGGAATCATTTCTCTTCTTTCTCATCAGCCGATTTATATTTCTCTTCAATTCCCAGTTTAGATTTTTATACAATAATTCGTCATTCCTTTAGTTGGTCACTTTTACTTTTGGCTTAACTTTTGTTCATCAAATTGGTAACTGATATTCCTACTTTTTCTTTGTTTTCTCCTTAATTCTTTTTCTTCTTTATATCTTCTCCTGCCTTCATTGTAATGGCAAACTCATGGTGATGATGATCATGATGAAAGGGTAAAGTGAGATGAAAATGGTAACCCAAAAGAGTCACTAGACTGGTTGATAATATCCACTTTTGGTAGAATTGATTATCCAAGCTCTTCTTTAGCTGTTGTCTTCTTTCTTTTCTTATTTCTCCTGCTACTTACACTTCATTCATTCATCTTGCTCCATTACTTAATATTGTAGATTGTTTCTAAAGTGTGTTCAACAGAATGAAGATGGAATAGAGGAAAGAGAGAAGAAGAGAGAAGAAAAATAATATCATAAATATAATTCTCTTAACTGAAATAAATTCTTATGAGATATAACATGAACATGAGTCTGTCAATATGATAGTTGTACATATTTATTATGAAGAACCAAAGGGAAAACATGATAACCTTAACTCGGTCAAAAAGCATATCCAAAACCAAGGATAAAACCCAAAAACTTCAAATCAAATTATAAGACTATTCTGAAATGTAAAGTGATAAATATTATTCTGCCCATGACAAAAACGGTTGATTCTTGAGGAATAATAAATTTGCATAAAAAAAGATCAATAAAAATGCTCATCTGAAGATGGAAACAAAATTAACAAAAAGAAAATGAAAAGCCTAAGTAATAACTTTGTCAACAATCTAATCATGTTTCTTATTTTTTTGTGTCTCATATCTAACTTACAGCTGACTGCAGTTTCCTACTGGCAAATGCTCAGATCGTTGATTATCCGATTGTTTACTGTTCAGAGACTTTCTGCAAAATTTCGGGCTACAACAGGGCCGAGGTTATGCAGAAAAGCTGTAGATGCACATTTATGTACGGTGAGATGACAGATAAAGCAACCATATCCAAGATTGAAAATGCATTAGACAATCATTCAATGGAACAATTTGAAATACTTCTTTATAAAAAAAATCGTAAGTATATTTCAATCCCTTTTTGCTTCTTATCATCAAGTTTCCTGTCATCTTTGCCAACCCAGTTCCACAATCAATGAAATCAACCTGAAAGGTAAAGAAAAAAAAGAGTGAGATACAGAGAGAAGAAAAAAACACATTTCATTGGATGATTTCAAGAAACGAATCGAGTACAATAGTGAATAACCCATTTATCGATTGTTCAACCTTGAATTTTAAATTGGGTGAATAATAGCAAGCTATAATAGTCCAATAAACTTACTGTTAGTTCTGAGACAATGAAGCTAATCAAGAAAGGAAACAAATTTAAAAAATAGGCAAAAAAATTGACTTACCTTGACAAAAAATGAAATTTAACGAGAAGAGAGGAAAAAGGTAAAACCAAAAATTGATTTTTTGACAGCAACCAGAAACAATATTGTAATCCTCTCCATGCTTTAACCGATACTGAAACAGTGATGAAAAACATTAATTTTAGATATAAAAATAATAAGTGAAATAAAGCTTGTAGACCATTATAAGCTATCAATGACCTAACTTGGTAGCAAAATAATTGGCTTTAAGTTACCAAGCTGAAGTTCAAATTGAGCTTACCAATCTATTTATAGCTTTTCAAGTAACTGGAAAATTTTTTGAGGAAACAATAATTATTTCACTGGACTTTACAGTTCATTTATAAGTATTAAAACTTTCCAATATATGGTGGTGGCTGCACTTGAAATTATCTGATGTTTACATGTTGTTGTTTTTTCTTGCTTGCCGGAATTTATTGAATGGTGAGAGTAAAGATAACAATTCATGTTCTCACACTGCTATTAACTGGATTAACTTGATACAGTTTCACCTTTTCCTCGTGCTTTTTTCACTCACACTTTTCTTGTCTTGTTATCCCATTAATTCAAATCAGGTACCCCATTATGGCTTTTGTTGCACATTGCTCCAATAAAAAACGAGAAAGACGTTGTTGTATTATTTTTGCTCACATTCAGAGATATAACAGCCTTAAAACAGCCGATTGAAGATGATGCCAGTAAAGGTCTTAGTAAATTTGCAAGACTTGCACGATCAGTTACTAGAAGTCGATCTGTTTTAGCGCAACAATTTTCATCACATATTCCTATTATTAAAGCTGAACCTTCCAAACAATCGAGCTTGGGTCATGTAAGTATCTTTCACTATCAACTTTATGTTTATCTTGCTTCTTGTGTCGTCATTTTATCGTCACTCAGGGGCTCTTCAGAAATATTGATATGAATTATTGTTGGAAGAAAAGATGATTTCCAGTCAGGTTTCAACAATAGGTCATAGATCAAAGGGATCAAGTATGTAGACACTCGAGTTGAAGGTGATCTTTTTTGCAACATCATTTTCAGGATAATTTGTCTCATTAATCTGGTCAAAAACAGATAACAAATCTTCTTTCCTTTGACCAGCGATTAGAATAATAAATGACAATTTGTTGACAATGGGCAATGTTATCCATTGAAGCTGATGATCAAGTAACTCATATTCGCCTAATTTTTCCCTTTCTTTTCGTCCATCCAAGTTTCATGTTGACTTTTGTTACAGAAGCTGTTAACTTGGTTTGTTGGTTGATTATTTATCGCTTGGTTGAGCATAAAAGAATATTTAAAAGGACCATTTTTTGTCTGTAAATATTAAAATACAGATACACTTGGCACAAATGAAAGGGAAAACCTGGATAGGGAGAGTGAGAAAAAAATTAAAGTCAACTGAGTTAGTTAATTAAGTGAAAAAATTTCATCGAAACTATGATCATACATACTTGATTCTTTGGGTTTGTTAATGAATTCATGCATTGATCGATAAGCAGTAGGCAAAGGTATTTACTCAGTCACCCAACAATAAACTGAATGTTTAACCTAAACATATAAGTTTACCATTGTATTCAGAACTGTATAAATGGTTTAAGCAATTAATAACGTAAACATTAGATTACTAATAAAATAATTCAAGGTTTGGTTAACCTTAGAGCCTAGATAAAAGCAAGAAGAAGAAAAAACGATTAATAATAAAACAAAAAGTTGCAGGGAAACAGTTAAAATAAATTATTTCCAACCCAATCAGTAGCACTATGTTTAGCTGAAGTTTTTAGAACCTTCAACTAGAAGGAAGAAAACATTTTGCTTGAATAAAAAATGAAACAAAAGTGGAACTATCATTGTATATGCCGACAATTATAATCACAAATACAATTAACTTGATAGACCCTTCAAGTTTCGTTAAATGTATTAATAATAAGTGTGTTGAAGCTGAACCAACCAGACTTTTCCATTTTGGCTTTTCTTATTTCACCTTTTATATACCATTGAATTCAATTATCAACTCCAACTACAGATGAGTTCCAAGTTTCAAGTCTTTAGCTTTCTGTAAAAAAATGAGACAACAATAAAACGATAAAATGACAAACAGAAAAGTCAGTTGATACTTTGAAGAGTTAAGTAATTTTCTCTATTTATCTTTACTTCTCTCTTTTTAAATCCTTCAACTGTCCGTTAATGGGTCCACTGTTAATCATTTATAATCTCTCTGGAATTTTGTGCTGTATTACACATTTTTTGGTGAAAATGGGAAATACCATCAACACTCAATCAATGTGATTTGAACGAAACAAAAAACAAAAATGATAATCAACCACTTTTTCCATCCAATTTGACACTTGACACCATCATTTTGTCATGCAATTATCATTATTCTAGTTGATGACCTTAAACTCGGATGTTCTTCCCCAATACCGTCAAGAAGCACCTAAAACTCCTCCTCACATTTTACTTCACTATTGTGCTTTCAAAGCAATCTGGGATTGGATAATTCTTTGCTTAACCTTTTACACTGCCATTATGGTACCATTTAATGTTGCATTCAAAAATAAAACATCAGACGATGTTAGCCTGCTAGTCCTTGACAGGTAAGTTGATTAAGTACAATTAATCTTTCAACGAATATAATTCAAGTTATATGAGCTCGCCAATTTAATTTTCCAAGGACCAGGTTGCTATGTCAATCATCCTACGTAACCCTCCTTAAAGGTTTAACACAGTTGCTGTTGATAATCACCATTTTGTTTCCAACCCAAAAAAACCGTTACACTTGATGATAAAGGTGATAATTAAGCAAAAACAAATGAAGAAAGAAAAAAGAAAGCAAATTAACGAAATGATGTTCTCTCAACACAAATATCTAGATATATTTACATTGCAAAGGGGAAAACATTGGTGTAACAGTGAAAACAAACAGGCAAACATGAAGCAAAATAACCATCATTGAGTAACAAGTGAGCCAATCAACCAATGTAACTGCAATGGAAATGTAATGAAACAAGAAGAAAAAAATTAACATAAAATTAACATGGCAAGATTGTAGTGTTAGACAATAGAAAGGGTTGAGTTGTCGGTTACTTTTACCGGTAACCATTTCACTTGTTATATTACGCATTTCAAATCTTATGACACTGTTAATTGAATAATTTGATTTAAAACAAACTAAATTGTAATAGAAGACTAACATTTATCAGTAAATCAATTGAAACATTTTAAAACAACATGTTACATGAGAGCAAAATTGAGATTGTAAGGCAAGATAAGTAATTTGAATTTTTGTCTAACTGACAATTCAAATAAACGGGATCGTTTGCTAATTTAAAACATTCAACTGACGTAATTTGATATTTTTTCAAACACTATTCAATGATTGGCTCAACAATAATTGTTTAACTGAAAATTTTCCAATCAATTTATCAATTTTAAACAAATATGATAAACTGAATTTAATTGAAATACTAATTACATTTTGATTAAAGACTTTACAATGGATCCATATTGAAGTGAATGGTAACACATCAGACTTGCATGATTCCTCGAGGAGATTTTTCAAATTTGTGCTCAATCTCTGCAAATTTGTTTTGAATTTAATTATATTATTTCAATCAATTGTTGATCAAGCCTAAAATTATTTTATTTCGTTCCATTTAATTAACTAGATAAATATTTAACTTTGTTTTCCTTTGCCTGGAGCCAATCAAGTGAAATAAATGAGAGGAAGCACCTTTTTGATGACACCAAAAACGCTGTGTAAAGCATTCAAAGTATTCACATCAAGTTTTAAATGTTGACAATAAGAGTATAAAGATAAAATTAAAACTAAAATTGATACAAAATGATTAATTTGAGAAGTAAAAATAGTCTTTTGAGTGGCGAAAGAAAAACAATTTGTTGATTAACAAAATAACTTGCAATGGTAGGGCAAATTGAAAGCAGTAAACCTTTAAAGGTAAAACCCAAAAGCTAAGCCTAAAAACCTATTATAATTCAGAGAATGATCAGAACTAAAGCTCAAAATCCAATTAATTATATCAACTTACCTTATCTAATTACACTGTTTATATATCCAAAGGAAAGAATCCAAAGTAACTAATCTTCAAAATAATACAATAATAATGTATCAACTAAACATCAAAATGTAATAAATCAACTCTGTGTGTAACACAACGGTAACATCAGCTGTATGTTGAAACTTATTGAAAGAAAGGAGTAGAAGCGCAATTTATAAATTATTTAAAATGCTACATAATATAGTTAGTTAATGTGATTATCATAAATATAAACCTAAAATGAATATCTAATGTGAAAAGTGTTAATATATAAATAATGTGAACATTTAAAAAATTAACCAGAAAAGAATGGCTGTTGACCAGAAATCATAAAGAGGTGAAAATAGCCAAATATTGGATTCAACAATTAGAAGGACCAATTACAATATTAATCATTAATTTGTATTAATTTGTTGACAATCCAGTTGTTTGTACAACAAAGTAAACAATAATTTATTAAAGGCAAAAATTAAACACTCATTTAGATGTAAGATAATGTTGATATTTATATTTAGCAACTGTGTCATGGTTAAATCTCGCATTTTACCTTGATTATTCAAATTACAGTTTTACCTAAAATAAATTATCTTTGACATTATTTTTCATTGTTTCCCAAATTAAAAGGGTTTCACATAACTTTGCTTCCAATTCTGGTGAATTGCTATTTTTACCTTAATATTGAACACTCCCAATTGCATCTAAATATATAAATGTATTAAGTTTCAATGTAAACCTTTTACTTCTTTTCAACATTTTCAACACTTTAACCCAAATTCAATATTAAATCTACTATTAGCTGAATATAATTACTAATATATTTACATGGGTTTAATTGAAAAGATTCATTCTGTTTCAGGTTAAAATTCAACTTTCATCAGTATTTTGTTTCAAGTTTAGCTTTTGTCAAACAATATTCACCTTCTATTTTTAGGGTTGATTGTTGAATCTATTTGCAAATTTAATTGACATCGTTTTGTCGCAATTAATCAATACCAAAGTAAACTTTGTTTTCCTTTGTTGATTAATAATTTGTATTTAGATTTATTAGCGTTAAACATGGAAACCCTGTAAAGCTTTTACTTGATTGAGAGACAGTAAAGTTGCTGATGGAAAATGGTTAAATGTTCAATATTTAGACTTCATTTTTCATTTAAATTGCAGTTGATTCAGTAAATTGTCACGATAAGCTTTCCAAATAATCATTTCGATGAAGTAATGATGATGCAAGTTACAGTTCATTAGCTGCTGTCTTCAAAATGGTAACTTATTCTTGGTAACAAAGCAGTTTCCAGTCAAAATTGGATCAAAAATCAGTTCAATGATAGTGAACCAGAATTCAATCTTCAAGTGTTGAATATCATCTTTTTGTGAGCTCCAGTTGTTGGTTATTTTCGGGTCCAAGACACAGCGAATCAGCAAATCAAAATCACTTGATAAATAATAGAAATCTGTGAATAGAAACAAAAAATTAACTCAACTTCAACCTGTTAATGTATGAATCGTCCTTCAAAGCTGTTGAACAAATAGAATTAAGAAAACTAAATTCAAATACTCGGCAGTTGCTCACATTGTTTTTACTACCCAATGGCTAAAAATGAAAATGCTTAATTCTGATGGACCTGAAGGCCTACATTCGACTGGTGTGATCTTCATTAAAATGTGAAAATCTCTTCTCGAGGCAAAACACAGAAAAAGTTAATGCAAGTCAAGGTTGACTTTTCATGGTAATGCATCAATTGACTTTCTTTGTAAGTCCCTCCAAGTAAATCTCTAAAGGCTATGTACAATTGATTGAAAACAATATGATATTCAACAGGATAGTGTAACTAAAATTTCAGCTATGAATAGGAATTGAAACTGAGACTTTACAATCATTAAAAAGTTTAGCTACAACTTCAACAATCACGATAAAAGTTGAAATTTAAAACCCAAAAAGAGTTTTTCCAACTCAATTAGTTAACTAACCTAGTTTCATATCATTATGAATTATATCATTTATATACGCAGATGAATGTAGATAAATAAAATCAAAGTAACTCTAATAAAGGGAGTTCTTACCTGTTTCAAGTCATGTTATCTTTTTGAAGGAAAAATGATTCAATCCCAAAAATGTTCTTTCAGTAACTTTGAAATGTCATTTAAATAGCTGAGATAAAGGTGTACTTTGAATTGCCTTTGGACTTATGATCAACTTGAAAAGTTGGCCTTTACAGGTTTAAGCTCATCAATAGATCGGGAGTTATGATTCCGAACAGGGAAGAAAAAATCCCGATCTGTGTTACGAAGATTAGAGCATAGAGATGAAATTTTTAAAGATGAGTTTCGATGCATTTGTGAAAAGGGAAAACTATCATGTTTTGTGACACACTGTATCTGAATGGCAAATTGTTTTCTACAATTGAGAAAATATTTGATCCCTTTATATCACAGCTTTTTTGAAAAGTACATAAAAGCTCAATGGAATAGATTATCTTCAATCTTCTGTATCTACTTTTTGAAGACCATTATCATTAAATTTCAAGTTGAAATCACAGAATGAGCAAAATGGAACTTATGATGATTTAAAAATTGAATCACACAGAGTAACTCCCAGCAAAAGTGGATCCTTATGTTCAAATGGTGATTCAAAATCTTTTCGAGTGAACAATTGCTCGATAGCTTGTTGGTGTAATTTAGATTTACTGGTCAACTTTGATTCAAATTTCAATGGACAAAAATTTCCATCATCAAGGTATCGTCATGACAAACAAGTGAATGGCTGAAAATGAAATAAAAAAAACGGTTAATAATGAATGTTATAAGTAAAGGTATTATTGTTATTTTACCAGTTTATATCCAGGTGAAAGAATAGAGGAATAAAATTCCCTCAAGGAAAGTGATATTTGCAGCCGATTAAGTGGCTTTTTATACATAAAAGATGTTCACATTTATGCAACCATCAAATACAGTCACAATGGTAATATCATAATAATAACTGTCACCATCATCATCATCGTAATCATCATCATTACCGTCTTCATTATTGTCATTTCTGTATTTCAACCATTTGTTTCATTTCCTCTCCTAACCATCATTTGCATCAACTATGGCTGACCAAAGGACATAAGACATCAATCTGTACAGTTATTCATAGGCAAGATTTGTCAGCTTCATCCAAGACAGTCAATCGCCAAATCACTTTGAGACCAAGTCTGAGCAAAAAAAAGCAAATTGAATTAGTCCAATTTATTTGTAATTGACAAGATAACTTATAATTATAGTCGTCACTTGAGCAAAAGAAGCTTCATACTTACAAGGTTTCAATACTGCCAAAAGATGGTTCCTTCCAGGCTTATTCAGCAAAATTAACGTCACCATTCAATAAGAAATTATCAATTCTTATCCAGCTCAACACTCGTCATTAATTAACCAAATTAAAGTTGCTGAAATAGAATCTAAAAAATGAAAACAATAAACGCTTCTTACATCGTTTGGTAGATCATTAAAGACTTACATGTAATATTTCATAAAACAAATTAGAGCGCTTCTTGCTACTCAACTTTAGGTCAGACTTGACCTGAACAGTTAACTTTCACATAATTGGAAATTTAGTTAAAAATTAAAGTCTTAAATCAACTAAATAACCAACACAATTAAATATTTATCAAAATGAAAAAGCAAGGTTAAGCAAACAAGCTTTTCAATAGTAAACACGTGAGAACGAAAAGTATCCAGAAAAGGAGGGAAAGAGTTGCAATCAAATTAATGGCGCTTTTTATGAAAAGAACCCAAAAATTAGCAAAATTTACAATTTATAGTCATTAATGAATGTTGAGCATTTACCATTCCAATCATGACAATTTTAGATGAGATTGGAATAACTGATTTGCATAGAAGCAACTAAACTTCACTGTTTTGATACAGAAAAGTAAAAAAATTAGTTACTTTAATAATGATATGTTTAAATGATTTTATGAAGAGAAGATACAAAAAAAAAGTAAAAACAAACTGAAACGAAACCAGAATTCTGATCAACTTTTCGTTGCACAATTATAATAACTTGATGCAGTTTGGCTTGGCATTTCCGTTGATTGAATCAAATCAATTGAAGTGTTTGATTAAGATGGAAAAGGTGAAAATTGGATTTTGCAAGTAAAAATTTTTCAACTCATCTTTTCTGATAACATAATCATGATTACGATTGGAAAAAGTCTTGATATTCCGAAAGCATGGAAAGGATGAGAAAAAGAAAAGCAAATGCTTTCTATGATTGATTGTAAATATTTATCATTCAGATCATACGATAGAATCAAGTTCAAAGTTTTGTTTTCCTCTGAATGATAATCATTTCAAGTTATTCATTGTGAATGTTAATCAGTCTCTGTTAATATGAACAAATAATTCAAACAAAAAAACCGAAAAAAGAAGAAAAAAAGAAAAAAAATGTTCGAATGTTAGTCTCATCGAAAACATGAGTTCAAATGATCAGATTTTTCTGTTCATTTGAGCAACATTCAAAAGTATCGAATATTTTTGCATAAAAAATTCCAAATCAATTTCTTCCAATCATTAAAGCTCTTAATGAGCTTCTTTTGGAAACAATTGATGGAAATTTATTGATCAAACTTGATCAAATTAAATCAAAGTATCAAAACTTTAAATCGTTAAATGTTAAACTGAAAAAAGTAAATGATTTAAAATGATTTAAATGCTTGAAACAATCAAAGAGCAAATAAGAAATGACGATATTTCAATGAATAATAATTGTTATCTTAATGTTAATAACAGTTATTGATGGATAAACAAATTAATGGAAACATTTTCTTGAATAATACAATTGAAATTAATCACGTTTCAATGCAGATTCACGGCAATCAGCCAGCAATTTCATTCAACTCATAATCAGTTGGAATGGTAAACAAGATGAAAGGAAAGTGAAGAAGAGAAAAAAAAATGATAACTTGGATTCTTCTTCTTTTCTATTATCAACATTATTCTTCCATTATTGTTTACTGCCTTTTCTTTTGCTCTATTTGCTACTCAATTATATCCAAATAAAGGTAATACTCTAATATAATTGAGTTAACATTAAGCTGCACTTTCATTGCCTTTACCTTTCAACTTAAACCTGTAACCATTGTTGCAAGGTTTACCTGCTAAATGTGATTAAAATGGCAACAGTAAAAAAAGAGTGAGGTTAAAAGGTCTACAAATTGCTAATTAGAGTTTGAAATTTACTTTTTTTCATCTTTTACTTTTTTCAATTGAAAAATAAGTTCTGGGAGTGAAAAGTGCCTGGGAGTGAGCCAGAGTCTTGGGAGGGAAAAGTCATGATAATTGGGACTTGAGAGCGACTTAGATTTATAATGTTTTTTTTGCAGTTTGATTTGTTTATTGAAATTCATTGGTCGCTGAAACCTGTTTATGCTCTATTTGTGTTTATGTTTAAAACTGCAGGCAAGGTGACAATTGGTTCAGTGTAAAGTTGCTCATGTGAAACCAGAAACCTGATAAAGTTTAGTCTAGCAAAAGTGGACATTTCACAGAAGTCAAACTGGCATAAACTAGCGATTAAAATGATTATAGTGATTTTCAAATCAGGGAAACATTTTTTCCCCTTTTCACTGTTTTGTTTTCAATTTTTGACTTTTGCTGAAATTTTATTGCTTTTACTCCAAGGGTTGAATGATTATCAAATGTGTTTAATATTGATTGACTTGAGTTTCACTTTTCATTGAACTCTCTGTAAAACAGAAAAGTTTAGAACAGAAACATTTTGTTGTTTGGAAAATTTAATGGCAGCTTGGATGACAGTTTCAATTCGAAAATGATTCTGATTGCAATTGTTCTAATGATGATTTTATCTGCATTTTTCTTTTCTTCCTTTTCTCTTCCAGCATTGTAGATGTCATATTTTTCATTGACATTGTGCTCAATTTTCATACAACCTTTGTCGGACCTGGAGGTGAAGTTGTCTCGGATCCTAAAATAATACGTATGAACTATCTTAAAAGTTGGTTCATAATTGATCTTTTATCGTGCCTACCATATGATATTTTCAATGCCTTTGATGATGTTGAAGAAGTAAGCATTAAAAACGCGTTTCAAAGTGTTGACCAACAACCAGAATGTTAAAAGTTCAACTCTTACTCTGAGAAAAACTTTTCAAACATTCCACAGGTTTTCAGTTAAACATCAATCGACGCTCTAAAAAGCATCACCTTACAGTGTTTACAGGCAAAGAAAGGCTTAAAGGCGAAAATCAAGATTAGACGGTAAAGGCCCAAAACAGCCAAAGTCAAAACAGCCAAGTCCAAACCAGCAAAGTCCAAAATGGCCAAAGTCAAAACAGCCAAATACAAAGCTGCTTAAATCATATCAATTCAAATTGCAAAAAAGTCCAAAAAAAACCTGTCTATGGATATTGATAAGCTAATTAATTATACTTAATTAACTCCGATCGAGTCAGAAAATGGCCCACATACACCTATGTCGATGCTCTTGTGTCCTAAAAATTATTGAGTCAATTGGTTAAGTCAAACTTATTCAAAATTGAAGCAAAAGTCAGTGGTAAAGAAACAAAAGTACTTTTTGATGCCCCTAATAAATCTGATCATTTAAGTAGTTTTATTTGATTTAAGCAGCTTTGTATTTGGCTGTTTTGACTTTTGCCGTTTTGGACTTGGCTGTTATGGACTTGGCTGTTTTGACTTTGGCTGTTTTGAACCCAAACCGATTAGACTAGCGAGTTGAGAGTAAATGCTTATTTTGATTGACCAATAATCAGCTCAAAGCGCATTTTTAATTATATAAAATAGCAAACTAACATTGTTATAAGGAAAAAATTTATTAGCACAATCATGAATTAGTTGATTTGATCGTTGAAATCATTTACTTTTGAGTTTTTACAGAAATTTCGTCACCTGAGGATATAAACGTTTGCTTTAGAATGACAATTTTCATCATTTGCGTCGATGACTTGGATTTCTAAAGCACTCACCTACTGACTTCAACTTAATGTGCGCTGCTAAACAGTTGCATCGAATGTGTCAAATGATATTCAAAAATAAAACTACACTAGAGTACCCGGTTAACGCAATTTTTTTGTGTTCCATTTAAAGCAATTTTCACAGTCGCCATCTATGATTTTTTACAAATTGACATTTGTTTTTATAATTTTATATAATCCTTTCATTACCTAAATCTTAAGCGCTGTCAGTTTCTGAAAGTCATTATCACTAGATGGAGACTTAGAAAAAAATTGCGTTAACCGGGTACTCTAGTGTATTAAGTTGATTGAGACTAGATCTGATAATAATCGTAATATCGATTTTTCAGGTTCACTCAAGATCGTTGATTCTACGCGATTTTTAGACTCAAGTGACTCAAAATGACTCGTTCCAAATAGTCTTGTGATTCTTCTCGACCTTTGATTACTGATTATTGATCATTAAAACAATCGATATTTTCTGCCAACTCACTAGTCTAATCATTTGCTGCTCGAGTTTTCAAAGCAAACACTGAATGTTATTTTAAAGCGGAAACTTGCCATTTAACAAGAAAACTTTCAAATTTTTGTTGTAAAATTATTAATTATTATTATTAATTGTTGTTTACATTTGCCTTTTCCCCAATCGATAGCAAGGAATAGGAAGTCTTTTCAGTGCTCTTAAAGTGGTGCGTCTCCTTCGTCTTGGTCGGGTTGTCCGTAAATTGGATCGTTACCTTGAATATGGAGCCGCAATGCTCATTTTACTTTTATGTTTTTATATGCTGGTTGCCCATTGGTTAGCATGCATTTGGTACAGCATTGGTCGTTCAGATGCGGAAAATGGTTTCGTTTACGGTTGGCTTTGGAAACTTGGAAACATAACTAAAGTAAAACTCATTCTTTACCAAAACACTTTTCCATGAACTTTACCCACTAACCTTTTGTGACCCAATTTTTTCTCTCTTTACTTTCCATTCCCAACCTTAACATAATAATTAGCAACCATTTAATTTCACGGTAACCGATGCTACAAGTATAACAATGAGACCAGAATTAACTGGAGGCCCTCAGCGTGGAACCATGTATGTCACCGCCTTATATTTCACCATGACTTGCATGACTAGTGTTGGATTTGGTAATGTTGCGCCGGAAACTGACAATGAAAAAGTTTTCACCATTTGTATGATGATCATTGGAGGTAATTAATTAACCTTTTAATGTTAATCTAAATAAGAGTAGAAGGAAAGAGACACGGAAAAAGACAAGATTTAAAGTTGATAATTATTCAAATGAGAGACTCCAAGACTCGAGGGACTCCATGAAATGAATTTTTCATTTTTTCCTGTTCTCTTTTGTTTCCTTCAATTTGGTTGAAAAAGGTGAACAAAAGAGTTTTTTTTGCCTGAAAAGAGAAAAATCAAAATTTCTCAAATTTCACCAAAATCTCGACAAATTTCACCTTTTGTTTTCGCTTCAACCCATTATTGAACAATTGTCGAAATTGATTAAAAAAGATAATTCCAATCGAGTTACCTTTTCTGCTAATGATTGGGAAAATTGCAACAATGGGCCAACATTTCAATTCTCTTTTCACATTCCCATTATTAGTCATGACATTCCTTGCACCATTCTCATCTTCATCATCATCAGCATCTTATTTTTATTTCACTTTTCTTTTGTTCCTCGAGTGTTGCAAAGCTTAATGATATTCAAAGGCCCTCAGGGGGCCAATCGATTATCAAATAAGAATGAGATTGAATTGAACAGAATTGGCAGGGACATGGAAAAGTCATTTACTTTCATGATAACTTTTGATCATTTACCATTTACTCTCCTTTACACTCGCAATCTACTTTATCACTATTAATGATTAAGTCAACATTATTTGTCTTCAATTCAGTGGGCGATTCAGGGAAAGTCGAACAAAGAAGGCGAAAAAGAAAAGAGAAAAAAATATTCGACGAAAAAAAATTCTTCCAACCTTATTGTGAATATTAATATTAATGATGAATCATTTAATTACATCAATAGTAATTATTTCAACCTCAAAAATGGTTTGAAGCGAAAAGGAAATGAAAAGAAGGCAAAAAAATAGTCAATCTGTTAACGCTATTAACATGTTGGCTGGGAGTGTAAACTCCCAGTAAAGAAGGAAAAATAAAAAAATTTCTTTTCTTCTTTACAGCTTTACTCTATGCAACTATATTTGGTCATGTAACTACCATAATACAGCAAATGACTTCGGCAACTGCTCGTTATCATGACATGTTGAACAATGTTCGTGAATTCATGAAGCTTCATGAAGTGCCCAAAGCATTGAGTGAACGGGTAATGGACTATGTCGTCTCCACTTGGGCCATGTCGAAGGGAATTGATACTAAAAAGGTTCTCAGTTATTGTCCAAAGGACATGACGGCCGACATTTGTGTCCACCTTAACCGTAAAGTGTTCAATGAACATCCCGCCTTCCGTTTAGCCTCTGATGGTTGCCTTAGAGCTTTAGCAATGTACTTTTCAATGGACCATTCGGCGCCCGGTGATTTGCTTTACCATTCAGGTGAATCTATTGATACACTTTGCTTTGTTGTCTCGGGTTCACTTGAGGTTATCCAAGATGATGAGGTGGTCGCCATACTGGGTAAAGGTGATGTGTTTGGTGATGCTTTCTGGAAGGAGCCGACCATTGGCCAGTCTTGTGCCAATGTGCGTGCTCTAACATATTGTGATTTACATGCAATAAAGAGAGATAAATTACTCGAAGTGCTCAACTTTTATCATACTTTTGCAAATTCATTTGCTCGCAATTTAATGTTAACTTATAATCTAAGGCATCGGGTAAGTAAAGATTACACCTGAACATGATCATTCATTGTCATGGGAAACAATTTAGAGAAAATCGAATATTCGAAATATGCAAAAATGTTTATAAATGTTTATAATTCAATGAAAATCTGAATTTCTATTATCGAATTTTCTATTCACTTTTGCCTTCAAGCGTTGATGTTGAAATTGTTTGCCAGATTGACTTGCGATCAACTCTTTGTACTTTTACTCAGTTTTGTGGGATTTCGAAATTGAAATTGACAGAACTTTCAGCTCGTTTAACAGACATTTTTGAATCAATGATTGAATTGAGATTGCATTTCAATCGTAAATATGTTTTTTATCTAATAACATCATTGAGTGTTGAATCGATTTATCAAAATTTATATCACATTAGATCACATAGAATGCTGATGATAAAGTGTCTGCAAAAATGTTGATTGTCTTTGGAAAAGTGGAAAAAATGGAAAAATATTTTCAAGAAATTACTTCAATTCTCATTATATTGAGTTGAGTCTAAAACGTGTTCAAGAACATTTCTTTTCCTGAAAATTTTAATGTTTAGAAGAACAAAAAGAAAGTCGAAAATTTTGACCAAAAGAGTCTAAAGACGAAGATTGCAGATCAATTGCTGGTAAAAGCAATGATTGCTGCTAACAAGTGAACCACATTTTTCACCCAACTTCAACTCTCATTAACTTTCATTTTACTCCAATTTTTTCTTCTTTCATCAATCAATTCTCATTCTTTTGGTTTTCAATTTTTTGTCAACCTTTCTCCTCGAACTCGAAGCAAATTTCCATTAGACAAATCTCTTTAAGGTGATTACAAGAATATATCATAATCGCTTTGATAACGATGATCACTTTCAGAATGCTGGTTTAGCCCTCAATAAGTGAATCAGATTTGGAGAAGGGTTTATATGCAAACTTCATGTCGACCCAGTTTAACCTTGCTTGGTTAACACTTTAATCACATTGTCTCTTCCTTTGTCCTCTTCTCCACCCACTTATTCAACATCATCTTTACTCTCATCTTGACGACTCTCAACCTTAAAAATTGTCTAAACTCGAGAGTAAAGTGGAAAAAAATGATTCTTTACTTTCAATCTTTTCTTTACCAAATCATTTAGATAAACATTTCTTTTCATTCTTGTAATGATAATCCATTCAATATGAGATTAATCGGTTGATTAATATCTTGCCATCATTCGAGTTGAAAGATGTAAACACTTTACTCTTTAATATCATGTATCGTCTTGCAACTCTCTTCAAAGGAACACAAAAATTAATCGGATTTAACTCATTTCACCGTCAATTTTATAATCGCTTGTTAGTCAGCAAATTTTCATTCTTCAATTGTAGCACATTAAATACTTGACGAACATGGAAACTTTGAATTTTGTATTTTCAAGAATTTAATAGCAATTCGTTGAAGGTTTCCAGGTTTACCAGATAATTGAATATTGTTTTGAAATAATCAATGTTATCGATTCTGGAGCTTCTTTTTCCTTGTTTACTTTTTCTCCTTCCAATCATGATATTAATGTTGAAACATTTTGAACATAATTGATTTCCATTGTCTTCAACTCATTAAACTATTTATTAAACTGTTCATTGCTCTGAGAGATTCATTCAGTTCATTTGCCTCTTTTAATATTCAACGTTTTTCTTTGACCTTTTCACATGAACAGATTTTTGTGTTTCAATGATTAGATGATAATGATCATGTTGAAACATTTATTTATGCGCTGTTCTGATTGACTTTTTTCTTTACTCTTCTTTAGCTTATTTTCCGTAAAGTTGCCGATGTTAAAAGGGAAATGGAACTTGCTGAACGACGTAAACACGATCCTCAACCAGACCTTGCTCAAGATCATTTAGTTCGTAAAATATTTTCCAAATTTCGAAAACCTTCAGACACAAGTTCAGTTCCAACCTTTTCCCGGCCTTCATCATCCAATCCACCGACAATTCCCAACACGGCGGTTAGCAGTACTGATCCAGAAAAGGGTTTCCCTGGTTCAGGTCATGGTCTTCCTGGTTCGGGTGGAGTTGGTGGTGGCGGTGGCGGTGGATTGGCCATGAGACTGGCAGGACTTGCACATGCTGCCCATGCTGCGAGTGCTGGAACTGGTGGTGTTGGTGGTGGAGTGGCACCTGGGGAAAGTTTACATTCAGAGAGCAACAAGACTTTTGGTGAATCCAACATTGGTGATTCTCGTGGTTCATCGGCTGCAAGTAAAGCTTCTCGATGGGCTGCAGCCTTGGCCAGTGCAGCAACCAACAACTCGATCAATGCTGCTCTTGGTTTGGATAAAGAGTATGATGACAACAACTCGGGTGGTCGAAGAACTGAACTTGTTTGCAAAAAGTCGGAACACATTCATGTGGTTAAAGACATTCGTCCACCGACACAGGGTAACAAATGGCCGCGAATACCAACCTCTTCAGGAAGACCTGAGACTATTGAGGAAGCCAAAGAGCCTATTGAGATAACTGGAACAACAACTTCATCGACCACAACAAGTATGGGCACAACGGGTAAAATGACGGGTGATTCGACGGGAGAAAAGGGCGACACTAAAATTGTCTTGCATCCAAAGAGCATTAATAATGTTGACTATCAACAAATTGTGGCCTCACTGATCGATATGAGGGTCGATTTAAAGTTGGAAATTCAAAAGCTCAGTTCGCGTGTAAATAAAATCGACGATCATTTGGCGTAAGTAGAGACACTTTAAATTTCAAATACAAAAAATAGCGAGTCACAAGAAATTTCGAGCACAGCAGTCTTCATAACCTCAAATATTGATATACGATCGTGATTTAGGTTTGGATGAGATTCTCAGCTTTCCTTCAAATTCTCAAAACAGATTTCCAAAAAATTTACTCAAAACTTTTCATTAGCTTAAAACTCTGTTAGATTAAGATTAAATGAAGTTCTCAGATTTTTAGATTAACTTTAGGAAAGTTCAAATTAATCTTTCAATGTATGACAGTTCCAATCATGTTCATTGTAAAATGTAATTGATTGTAAAATGAAAAACTAACCTTTTAACGAAAAAATAGAAAAATTTGGTGAATGTTAGAATCTTTTGCTAATGCTAACAGATGAATATTTTTAATGAAACATTGTCTAGAGACGAATGTTATTTATTTTCATTGATATTGACTGGATAATAACAATTTTTCATGTAAAACATTTTCAATGGTTACATTGACAATTATAAAAAAATTGTTTTCTTTTTAACACACTTTTTTATTTTCATTTTTATTCTTCTCTTGTTCATTCAGGGAATTGAGTGAAAAAGTATCCTCCCTGTCTTCTGTTTATCAAAGCAATGCTGCCTCACCCAATCCAATAGCCAATCAGCCTGAATTTATGCTCTCACCAGTTCCAAGTAATGTTCACAACAGAGGAATCTCAGAGGATGGTAAAGGTGGAGTTGTGGTCAAGAAGAGTCAAAGTGATAAAGGAATGAGCACAAAGAGTAAAGATTCAAGTTCAAGTCAAGTTAAAGGTTCCCGTTCACTGAAATCATCTTTCCTCACCAAAGTGAGTGGATCTTCAAGCCAATCACCAAGTCCAGCAGCCGCTTCAAGTGGAACAACCTTTTTCGGTTCCGGACCAGGACCAGCAAGTTTACCAGTTACACAGTCAAGTAGTCAGTCAAGAGCAACTCCAACAACCGGAGCAACAGCTCCAGCAACATCAACCAGCACAGCCTCAACTGCCATGAAAGCAACAAGCAAAGTGGACGAAGTGCGAGCAATGATGGAAACCGAGATTGCTGAACAAGACGCCGGTGCAACAGATGAAGATCCCGATTTAACTTCAAAACTGTGAGACCCGCCAGCAACCATTTTACTAATCAAAACAATCCATCCAAAAATGCACACAAAACATTAACCTTAAAAACCTGGAAAAGCTCATCAAGAGTTGTTGGCGAACCGAAAATTGTGGATCAAAAAGGACAATTGAATAGATTTAATCAGATAAAATACTATGCCTGATACAAAATACTCTAATCACAATCAAAAGAATATCAATTTTTTTTTATTTTATCATCATAAAAGATGACCATAATAATACAAAAATCCCGCTGACAAAACAGCTCAAATTGCAACTTTCGTCTGACCAGAAGAAGACCTTTTGTTCAAGAAAAAGTGAGACAAAAACTGAGTTCAAAATGATGATCAATATCTTCATTCCTTCATCACCATCATCATTATGATCATTGAATAGTCGGACGCAAAACGGACCAACATTCATCAATATCATTTTTTTTGGTAAACTTTTTTGTTCTTCTCAGCGCATCTTCTCAACATTGTATCATCATAAATCACCTCATCACTCCAAGGTTGACCTGGCTCACCTTAAATGCCTAATACAAAATGCAAAGCGGACAGACAACAACAAGAAGAAAACTCATTTTACACTTAACACACTTACAGCACTTGAGCACTTTTCCCGATTCCTCGCCGTTTTCCCGTTTAACCTTTTCTCTGTCCATTCAGTTTTCAATTCAAGTCTTCATTATCTTTACACATTCAATGTAAACATAAAGATATTATTATCAAACCTCTTTCTTTTCCAATGATAATGATTACATTCCTTACCATGTTACAAGCACAATATGTTGTTGTTATTATTGAGATGAAACAAAAATATGATATTTTGACAAAAAAATATAAGAAATGAAGAAAAAACTGAAATAATTGTCAATTCTTGTTAATAATTACGGTCTTTTTGTTTCTTAAAATGGATAAAAGTGACTCAATTTTTTCTCTCATTTCATTTCCACTTTTCTTTCAATTCTGTCTTCTAAAACATTTTCTCCTCCCAGGCAATTTACTCAGTAAATATTACTATTAATAATGAACATTCGTTTCATTTTCAGGTTAGTTGGCTTCATTACTCTTGCCTATTTAAACTAGACACTTGAAGAAATTTTCAGTGAAATTCAAGTTTCTTCTCAACTCTGGCTGAGAAAACGATTGAAAACCTAAATATTGATTAATGATGTTGAAGCAATCAATTGAACCTTCAATATTTAACCGTTAAATATGTTTACATTGAATGTAATCAAATTTGGTGTTCAACTGAATAAAGGTTGACACATTTGTTTATCTGACTCTTGTAAGGGATTTTCAAGGGATACTTTGGGTCAGCCTTAAGGTATCAACTCAAGGGAAACATAAATAATTGGTTTATCTTTGGACAACAACAACAGTTATTCACTTAATTGAAAATCATGGCACAGTTTATTTAATATGATAATGGATGTTGATATTGTAATAATTGGACGACAAATGAGTCGAGTAAAAATGATTAAATCTGGTTCATTAGTAAACAAATTGTTGGCGGAAAAGTGAAAAATAATTTCCTCTTCTTCTCTATCATCATTTGGGTTAAATTGAACCCATTTTTTTGTGGCTCTCTGTCCAACATTGAAATTGAAACAAACAATTCCAACCGTCTCTGGTAATGGCAACAATTTATCAATTCACTTTCATCTGTTTATTATTTATTAGTCAAAAGCTAAATGATTTAATCAAGTTTGGGGAAATGGTTAGAGATGCCATTTTTGTCAATCAATTTTCATTAATCGATAAATGGTCAACACTTAACATTTGTTTGTTAACAGATTAAACTTGGCTTTGCTTGTGATTGATATTTTGTGATTATTTTTCTGGTCAGTGTTTGGGTTAAAAATGTGAAAAACCTTGTTCTAAATGAATAATCATTTGGGTTTGAGTTTAGATTAATGAGGTTTTTTTTGGCTCGCTCTGGTTCATCAAAATGACAATCAAAGATTTAGGAATCTAATTTTGTTTCATTTTCATTGGTTTCAAAATGGAAATGTTTTTTTAGGTTCTTTCCTTTTTTTACTCTCAACTTGCTTCTTGACCAGTACCTTGTTTTGGGTGTGGTAAAAGTGGACAGATTGATGATTCTTGTTTCTCCATTATTATCATCTTCATTGTAAAATCTTCAAGTTCTGGGTGTGAAGGGAATGAAAACTCTTGAAATTATCATTTGGGTTCAACCTTTTTCTTTTTACCTTTTTTTCTTCTTTCCTTTTTTCTTCTCATTTTCAACTGATTTGATGGGCTTTTTTAATTACTGACTCTTGTCTTTTCATCACTCATTTTAAATCAGTTGATCAATCGACTGAATTTTAATGTAAATTCAACTTTGAAAAGATTACATTTAAGGGTTAAAGGTTTGTTTACAGTGGCATCTGTATTTGCTTAAAGAAGTTAAAAAGATATCTTTATGTTTGTTTTGCTTGGTAAAACTCCATCTTGTGAGGATAATAGATAATATAAAGCCGCTCTTGAGATAAATTTGTAGTCATGGCAATGTTTTGAGATAGCAAGAACTTTTAAATCTTCTATCATGAAATCTTACCCAATATGTCTTCCAATAGATCCGGCTCTAAAAATACTGAACCAATCACCTTGCTCTTTAAATCTTTTTAAGGGTTGTGTCATAACAATCTACAAAACTACAATCACTGATCCAACAAACAGACGGCGCTGGTTTAAGCCGTAGGGCAAACAGATGATCCGAATCCTTACTTAAATAAAAATCCTGGTATCTAGACGAATAAACAATTTATCATCTATCCTTTCGTTAATGTTATTTATTTAATTATTTTTGCTACTTACGATATCCTTTATTTCCTCCTCCTCCGTTATGACTAACAAGGCTACCAGAGATAAGATTAAACAAGCTTGTCGACTTTATACTGAATTTGCTGTTGAAAAATCAAGATTAATTTGTAAAATTTGTAAAACTCATATTTCAATGACTAGTCGAACCAAGATGATTGAATTGGAAGAACATTTTAAAACTATTAACCATTTGAAATCTGTGCGTGAAAATCCAGCGGATGCCCGTGAGGGTAGTGAAACAGCTTCTTCAACTGGAAACCTTTCAGCAGATGAAACAAATGAGACGAATGAGACAAATGAAACCAATGATATCATTTCTATTGGTGATTCGGCTAGTAATGCTAATCAGACCTTTCCTTCGATACCACCCAGTCCCGCTGCAAACAAAGGTGGTGATGTTAAAATAGAAATGGACGATGATATCAAATGTGAATATGAAAATGTAAAGACTTTAATTCGACCCATTAAACAGGAGCTGGATACAAAAGCTGTTGATGATTTTTCACCTGCTAATCAACTGTTCTACACTGATCTAATCGAGCTGTGTCTTAATGTCAACATTTCTCTAACCAAATTTTCCAGCCCAGAATTTTGCTCATTTTTCAGCAAACACTTCAAAAAACCTATACCAAGTTTGGATAAAATTAGAACACATGTTTTAAAGCCCATGTATGAAACTAAAATCTGCAAACTCAAAGATCTTGTTTCTCAACATAATATCTACTTAATTGTCAAACAGCATTGGTGTAACGGTCGTGGAAATATTGTTACCCTTATGGTTGGTGTACTTGATGGGAAACCTTCAAGATCTCATTTATACAAAGTATCTGTGATGGAAAATGTTGATCTGACTACTTTATCGCAGGAAATACTTGCTATACTCAACAATTTGTACCGAGGACTAGCTTTTGACAAATTGTCTCTACTCGTCACCGATAACTGTCCTTTGAGCATACAGATCGGGCAATTTCTCAAAACGTTATTCCCTAAATTACGGCATGTGATTTGTTTGATAATTACTTTGGATTCATATTGTGAAATCTTTCGTTCGGAACACAAATTATTGAGTGAATATGTTTCTATTGTCAATTCTATCTTCGATTCGTCACCAAGTTTATCTGCTCAATTTAAACATAAGGCGTCCAAAGCTATCGATTTCCCACTTGGACACCCTAACTTGTATGGAGCTCAATGGATGGAAGCTGTTGAAACTTTTTGTGGCGAATTCTCTCTAATCAACTCAATTGTCGACACAGCACTGGCTGGTTCTAAGATCGATAATCTACTGAGGGAAAAGATTGATCGTTTGTACATTTTACTTGAAAATAAAGACCTACAACAGGAAATTATCGATTATTCTGGTTATCGTTCTCTGAAAGAGACAATCAAAATATTAGGAACAAATATCTACAACTTACCTCTAATAAAAAGAAGGCTCGAAGAGTTGGGTCGTCACCCCAAAAGAAGTGCTTTAATTAATCTGGTCAAGGCTACAATGGTTAAAAATCCAGATCTTGAGTTCATTTTAAACGTGGCTGAAGATCTCAATTCTAGTGACGAAGGCGCCAGCAATAACATTTTTATGCATGCACCACTGTGTGTTACAGACTCCTACAAATGTTTTAAATTATTCCAATCAATGGTGGAAGAAAATGGTGATATTGGGGATTCAGATCTCGAAACATTGACCTTCTTAGCATACAACAAAGATCTTTAAGCTGAAAGTTTGCGCCTTCAAAATAAATGCAAATCGCCTTGTTGGTCGTTTCATCTTCAAATGTTTTTATCATACTCGACAATATTGATCGTAGCGAAGTTACATCAACCCACCATTCAACTGTCTACTGTTTTTATTTCAAATAATAACTCATATTTTTAATCCGACATTCCTGACCATGAAATAGATGAAGTGAAATTCTAAATCAGTGCATGGACGTTTTATAAACGCTGTCCTAAAAAAGCATGCCTTCTTTTACCGAATTTTATGACATCTTCGACCTTCACCCATAGAAATTCAACATTTCGCTGCCTCAATAAAGTGAAGAGTTCTGTTTATTCTAATCGTTTCTACAAATCATTTTAAAGCCATGAATTGACAAAAGTGCTTAATTATCAATAGGGTTTACATAATCCCTTGGCGAATTTAAAAAATTAACAAATTTCCAGAGTCTTGGCGATAATTACAAGAATATAAAGTTTATTAGATCAATAAAAAATGAGTTATTAGAAAATGTAGAGTTAATCAGTAATGCATAATTAGCCAGATTCTGATTGCAAATATTCTTTATCATTTTAGATAGTTTTGATAAAGAAATGTCGAGTATATTTGCTCATTTGCCAGTTGATAAGTCCATCACTAAATGGTCAACGAATTCTGTCAACAAGCAGCTTAACAAGTTTACCATTTTATCACAATCCAGTGTTGGTATTTAATTATCTGGCTACTGGACTAGATTGGAAGAGAATGATTGATGCAGAGAATCTTCATCTTCCTCTTCAACTTCTTGCTGATTGCTTTTATTGTTTCCTTGACCATTTTGAACCAATGCTCTTAGAACTTCATCAACTTCTAAATGGAGTGTTGCCTCAGTACCCATTTCAGCCTCAGAATTAGATGTTTGTTCGGTTCCATCAGTTACAGGCAAATCTGTAGTAAACATTGATGCTGGGAGATAAAATTTCAAATTAAAGGTTTAATACAAAGAAATTTTCAATAAATCTTACCTGTATTGTCTGATCTTAAATGACGACGAATAATAATTTCTTCTACACGCAAAGCGTTCAGTTGTTCATCAACTCGTTGAAGTAGTTTGACCAGAATTTTCTCCTCTTCTTTTAGCTTCTTTAATTTAGCTCTAATATCACTAGATTGATTTCCTGATATGTTCGACATGGCCAACTGATTAAGTAAAGATTTGCCTTAACTATTAGTTATTGCATTACGACTGAATGAAAACAAATATGTTTACCTAAATCAAGAGCGGTAAATTCAAATTGAAATGAAACCTGAAAACATAAAAATCTAAATAGTTCATTGGATATTTTATAGATGTTCAAAGATACACTTTATCTTTGTCACAATTGTAAGTTTAATACAAAAATTTCAAAGACATGAAAGTTCCGATCTACATTAACAATTTGTTAATAACATCTGCAAGAAAACCTAATGACATAACCACGGTTACGGCTACCGAGATTGTCTAGCAACCAAAGAAAAAGCTGCTTTACTCTTTGATAATAACCAACCAAACTGGTTTGAATCTCTTTATTTTGAATTTATCAAGTTGACAATTCATTTTGTTTTTATTTTTTTTGCTTTATTATTTTTGTCCTCGCCAATATGTCATCCGAAGAAAGTGAAAAAGTCCGTAAGGAGTTATTGGATCTACAAAAGAAACGAGCTGATCTGGAACAAGAAATCTTGGTTTATCAAGACATTCTTAAATCGGTAAGTCGTAAATTTCCATATTTAATGATAATATCGATAAAAACAATTGCAGCATGTTAATAAGTGCTTTTTATGTGTCCCTGAATGTAGTTAAATATTGGAATGAATGAACCACTGGTTGACAAAGAAGGATTTCCTCGGAATGATGTTGATATTTATCAAGTACGAACAGCAAGGAACAAGATAGTCTGTGAGTATTTTTTCTAGTAAAATTCAATTTTTAAACTTATATAAGATTTTGACCCAATTTTTTTCTAAATTTAATTCATTAGGCTTGTCAAATGACTGCAAAGCATTAACTGAGCAAATGGAGAAGAAGTTACACGAGTTCCATGCTATGAGCCGTCCTGGTAATGGAACCTTTTAGCTAATTTACCTTCTATTTCTGTGCTTTCATTTTGTAAACAAATGCTGTATTGAATATCAATTGTTATCCAACAAAACACTTTTCCACACCAAATAATCAATCACACAACCAATAATAAAACAGATATTTATAATTAAAGTTCTATTCAATTCATCCTACACACATTTGTCATCACATCTAACAATCAGTATCTCAAACCAAAGCAAGGATTGAAAATCATCTGGTTGCTTCTTGTTTTTTCACATGCATTGTATCTTTTCATTTTCACTTTGTTTATCACTCTTTGATCAGTTTATTGTTTAATTTGATTATTTTTAACTTATATTCGACAATTAAAACAATATTTTTCCATTTGTGGTAAATTATAGGCAAATTCTGTTGGTTATTTGATTGTTTCTTCTTGCAATCAACATTCAACTGGTTATACACTATACAATTCAACTCAACATTAATCTTTTGCTACTCGTCATACACAATCATCTTTGAAATCATTATTGTGTTCTCTCATTATCTCAATATCATTCCGATTTCGTTGTCATTCTACTGTATTTATGTAAAAATCATATTATTTTCATTTCTCATCCCAGTGAAACATCATCGTTTCTCATCGATAAGCTCTACTTACATGTTAATAGCGTAAAGATTGAACTTAAATTAACCTTCAATTGACCAAGCATCGAAGGAAAATGGGTATGTAATGGTTGTTATTAACTCTACTTAATTTAGCAAAATTATTATATCTATGTTTCAGCTGTAGATGAGCATGCATGAGCACAACAAAAAGATCAGTCCCTATAGTCTTTAAAGACAATTATAGCTGATTAAAGTCACTTGGTCCTTTAGATATTCACTTTTGAAATAGATCTTTCATTATTGAAAACAGAAATGCTATCAACAAAAAATGAAAGCTAACTTGAGTTAACACAATTATTAATTTCCACAAAATCTTTTTTTCTTTCTAGATCTGCTGTTAACTGGAGCTGCCTGTTACACGCAGTCTTAACTTTTGCTCTCAAGTGTACGCATATCGGTTAATTCACAAGTTTTGAGTCCATCAATAAAAATCCATTAAAATTACCAGCAAGAGTTGAGGATCGACAAGATAGCTGATTCAGTGGATTCTGACTTTAATGTCATAATATTATCATCTTCTTGAAGGCCTTGTGTTTTAATTGATGATACACTGTAATCCGTAGCCTGGAAAGATGATCGCTACTCTATCTAAAAATGCATTTCTTTGTAAATATCTATCAAGGCCAACCTCAGTTATTCAGTTAGGATTACCTTGCAATCATCTGATTCGACCTTCATCTTTACGATCATATTGTAATCAAGTCAATTGGAATTCCATTACCAGAAGTAAAAGAAGTCGACTCTTAATTTTTTCTTCTCTTACCATTTCGACCATAAGTTTGATCGCTCACAGGAATAAATTGAAAGCAAAGATCGTCAAAAAAGATGAAGCTTTTGAGGCTGGCAAGCGACTGGAAGGCCTCAAAGAGTACAATAAACTTGAAGTTAACCAACACAACAGCAAAGAGAAGGGTGTTTGGATCATTTTTCGCAATGGTGTTTATGATATAACAAAATTCATCGAGGAACATCCTGGTGGCGATAAAATACTACTTGGTGCTGGTCAAGATATTGAACCGTTTTGGAATCTTTATGCTGTTCATAACGACCCACAGATTTTCAAGTTGCTAGAATCATATCGTATTGGTAATTTACTTCCAGATGATGTTAACACTGAAGGTGTCACTCAGGCTAATGATCCTTACCAGTTTGACCCTAAAAGGCCTGGTTATTTTGCTGTTCGTTCAGCTAAACCTTTTAATGCTGAACCTCCTTTAAACGTTTTGGCAGACTCCTGGTTGACTCCAAAGTAACCATTGAAATGAGTTTGAATTTTTATTTCAATTTCTAATTTCTTGTTTTTTTCTATTTATAGTGAACTGTTTTACATTCGCAATCATCTTCCTGTTCCTGATATTCAACCAGATGAATATGAGCTGGAAATTGAAGGTTTTGGAATTAAAAATCCAATAAAATTATCTCTTAAAGAGTTAAAGGAAAAGTTCCCAAAGCATACAATTTGTGTTGCTATTCAATGTGCCGGTAACAGAAGATCAGAAATGACAAAAGTAAGTCCATGGCTTTAAATTTAGTGTTTCTTCAATTGTCTTTCAAATGTTACAAATTAACCAACCAGAAGTCTCTAGTCCATTCCATTTTAATTGTCAATTCTTCGAGTGATTCAATGTGAAATTAATTTATGTTAATTTTAGTTAATTTATGCAAATTTCTACGTATATTAGGTAAAACAAGTAAGAGGTCTTTATTGGGGTGGAGCTGCGATAAGTAATGCGAATTGGTCAGGAGCCAAGCTGGTTGACGTTTTAAAGTATTGTGATGCTGATTTGAACGATCCAAATATAAAACATATTGTCTTTGATGGTGCAGATACAGATGCAACGGGTAGCTCTTATGGTGCTTCGGTTCCAGCTGAAACTGTAAGTTTAAGCCTAGTATTGATTATTATTAGAAGTAGCATTAACAAATTAATATTGTTCCAATTTTATTCTTCCATTGGAAACCTAATTAGGCTTTGGACGGATTAAACCAGTTTATTCTAGCTTATGAAATGAATGGTGTTGACATACCGAGAGATCATGGTTATCCAGTGAGATTAATTGCTCCAGGAATTGTTGGTGCTCGTAATGTTAAATGGTTAAATAAGATAACATTGTCAGATGAGGAAAGCCACAGCCATTGGCAAAGAAAAGATTACAAAGGATTTTCACCCAATGTTGACTGGGATAATGTTGATTTTGAAAAATCACCATCAATCCAAGAGATGCCTATTCAATCGGCCATCTGTGATCCTGTTGATGGCTCGACAGTAACTCCAAACGCAAATGGTTTCATTACGGTTAAAGGTTATGCTTGGAGTGGAGGTGGTCGTAAAGTGGTTAGAGTCGATGTTTCCCCTGATGGAGGAAGTAATTGGATAACAGCTGACCTTGAACAAGAAGATACTCCATTGAATCGAACGTATTCATGGACATTATGGAAGGTAATTCTCACGATTTCTTGCCATAAATACTAATTCACCATAAAACCATTTTTAATTGTAACACTTTTTTTCTTATCCCTATTCAATTTTAGGCTGATATACCAGTTGCCTCTTTAAAACAAGGATCAAATTTTCAAGTTGTTTGCAAAGCAATTGATTCCTCTTACAACAATCAACCTGAAAACGTTGAACCGATCTGGAATTTACGAGGTGTATTGACCAACTCATGGCATAGGATAAATTTAAAGTTAACTTGAAGCTACAAACAAAGTCTATAAATCAATTAGGATTTTATATTTTTATGTAACTGAAATTATAAATTGTATTGTTATTGTAACGCAATCCATCTCATAATCTTTGAATTTACTCTATTTTCAAAGCATTAAGTGAAAAATGCAATAAATTAACTTTTTGCAGTCATATGTCTATTAATTGTAGTATCCAATTGTTTAAATATGGAGACGACCTATTAGTGTAATGTACAATTGAAAATGCTACCTTACACATTTTCTAATCTTTAAATCAATCGTTAATTTCATAAAATGATTATGATGAAGAAAAAGTAATCAATTTTAGTGAGCAAATTTTATTAGCTTTTTTATCGTCAAATTAATCAGGTAAGAAAAGAAGCATTTTTTCTTCTCTTCTCTTCTTCTTCTCTCCTCTCCTCTCTCTTACTCAATGAAATATCATCCTTTTTTTATACACACACAAATGTACAGATACACTGACTAACATACATTCAGTATATCATTAACCATGTCAAATGAGAAAGTATCAGAAGGAAAAATGAAATCTTGATGAAAAGGATTGACTTAAGAGTAAATCTGATTGCTTTAAAGTCGTATTTTTTTTACAACTTGTGAAACAACTTTTGTCCAAAATGGCCAGAGATGCTTAAATGATCAGATGATATCATTGGATTACATTCAAATGAATGACTTGAAATGTATATTAATATATATTTAATATAAAAAAGTCAGACAAAGTCACTTAATTATAATAAAATCTCATATTGAGCCTCTCAAAATACATGTGAATATACAATATGATGAATGGTTAATAAACAGTTAACTCAAATTTAATGTAAAATATTTCATATTAAGTTAGCTGTATTAAGAAACGCATAATAATAATTGTAATGACAATAGCGAGTAATACTTGTGATTTACGTTAACCAATAAAGTTTATTAATTTGATTCTCAATTGATGATCACTTGGTACTAAAGGTAATATCTTTTTGAATAAATTAACGTTAAAACTAAAGTCAATTAGCTGATACTTGTCTAGTCTTGGAAGTTAATGAAAATTAAATGACAAAATTGAGACGATTTTTGGTACAGATCAAGTAGTTTGACTAGTTGCATGTTAAACATCATGATCGTCTAGTCAAACTTGAAGTTTACTCATTTTTAGCTCTCAAAAACTGGTAAAATAAATAATTTAAGATACTCATAAAATCTATCAAAACAAGATTAAAATCAACTGTAGAAGAAAAGTTCATCTCACAACCAGTCAAACCACTTGAATCTCAATCATTTCTTCTTTTTACGTGTTTCAGTCTTTTTCTTTTCTCTTCATTTCACAATTTCAATTCATTATCACTGAATAAAATTTTTTTTCTCAAGTTAATTGGTCAAAAGTTATGTTTATTATTTACAATAAATCAATGAGTGATTATAGATAATCATGATTGAAAATCATTATTGATTTGTCTTGACTAATCTTTTCAATTAGCGAATACAGTTAAACCCATTAACTTGACAATTTAAAAAGCTAGATATTTCTCTAACAAATGTAACATGATTGAAGTTAATTTTGTTCAATTTTGTTCATATACATAACGAGTAATTGGTAATACAGATTGAAAAGATTAAATATAAAATATTGGGAATACAAATATATAATGTTAAAGGTTTAACTTGTGAAAAGAGGAAAAATTTTCACAAAATTTTTTGGTTAATCAAGAAGTGAAAACAAAATCATAACCAAATGTTAGTTTGAAAATTGTAATATATAAGAGAAGTGAATCAATTTTCATTTGGTAAATCCTCCAAAACTCTGCCCGCAAAAATTTAATCAATAACATCATTCCTTGTCATCAGCGATTGATCCAGAAAAGCACAAAACATCCATTGTTATTGCTTTTTGCACCATGGTAGAACAGATTGATAGAAATGGCTGTAAAATAGCCATTTTGTTGATTAAGATGTGATGATGAGTGTGACAAGATGATGTCAATGATGATGAAAAACAAAAATAAAAATAATTTTTCCTCTTCTTTCACTTTTATGAGATTATGAGAAAGAAAACTAAAGCTAATTTTTGTAGACTGCAAGTGATTGCATTGATGGTAAAGGTTGAAGATGTTGATGATGGTCAATGATTAAATTGGTGGTAATGAATCTAAGTTTTAAGCCGATTGGCGAAAAATCATTTGCTTGATTGTCCATATGATGGATAGGCCACATTTTGCTTGAAAAATCCTCGTACATTTCCTGGTGGATAGTAATTACAAGCAATGTAAATCCTCTCTGTGCGAGGGCTTTGAGCTGCCGCACAACCAATCTTTTGGGTGTCACGCCAAACAATTTGGGTGAAATGACCGGTTTTAGGTGAATATCTTGGCCAACTGTATTGATACAGAGATATTTCATTGTACCAATTCATGACGGCATCTTGACAGGTTGGAACTGATCCTTTCCTCCAATACAAATTTTCACCATAACGTAGTCTCTTTGGATGTTCAAATATATCGGTGGATGCCATGTATTGGGCTCGTTTCAAGGCAAATCGCTCCAACTGAATAAAAGAAAATAGAAACAAAGAAAAGAAGACAATTACTAAATTGAGTTGATAGTAAACAATTAACCTCTTTTGTCTTTTTGTGAGTTAACACATATTTCTTCTTTTCATAGTTAATCACAACCTTGATTCTAAATCCATTCTTTCCTTTGATTAACACTTGCACTTTTCCTAATCCAGACAGGTAATTAAATTCATTGTTTTGTTAACAATGTTAGTGGATAAAAAATATTTTGTATTATCATCAGATGTTTTGTTTTTTCTTCAACTCTTTCCTCTGTTATTTTTTCTAGTTGACAAGTAAATAGCCAACCATCTGATGAATTTTGATTGTAATTTTGGTATCTAAATATAATTTCTTGTTAATAAAATGAAAAATGAACAAGGTTAAGTGATAAAACAATTTCAATCGTTGTTGGCTGATGAAAACAAATGCAAAGGAAAATTGTGTAAAAAAGAAGGGATAATCATAATTATAATAATTATAATAATTGCTGTGAAGCTGTCAAGATGGATTGATAAAATGAAGAAGCTGCAATGAATTTGTGAGGAAAGCCCAGGATAATCTTGAGATCATTACTATCAGGGTCATTGTTGGTTAATTTTTACTTGCTTAATAAAAATATAATTGTTTCGGGATATAATATAAGAGAAAAATAAAGGAAATCTAACCTTCTCAGAAGTTCTGTAAACCAGGGGGATTACATCATTTCAATGTTTGGAGAGGTTGAATGTAGAAATGAAAAATAACCAAAGATAAATTCAAGTAATCATTGAAATGAATGTTTTCAATTTCTGTGTGAATTTGCTAGATCTCTCACATTTAGCTATTTAAAAACAGTATTTCACTTAATTTAATATTCAAGGAAAAATTGAGAGTTGCTGTTTAAATTATCATCATCATCAACATCAGAATCAATATTAACAGATAAGAATCAGCCTGGAGAAGAATTGGTAACAAATCTTTGAAAACAAAAGCTAACACTCGATTCAAGTGTATCAATTAACCCTGAATATTGAAATTAATGTAAAATTGATAAAAAATCAAGTCATTGAACGATTGGAGATTGCACTGTGCCTGAGACAGTTTGATTCTTATGCCTAATACTGATGGTTGATGTTGATGTTTTGGTAATTATCATGATAATCACGCTCGGCTCTTTGAAAATATGTCTGACTTTAGATGTACTTGTGGATGATGTTAACTGTAATAATGACAACAAGACCAAGGTTAGTGATGAGGTTAACAAAAACAAAGATACTGAATTTGATGGTCACTTGAAAACAGTTGTGGACAGTGTTTCAACTAGCTGATAACAAAATTTTTGACAGCAGAATGATGAGTTTGGTAGCGATGAGAAACTGTTAAGTTGAGAGTTAATTACGATTAGGCCTTAAAATGGGCTCTCATCGAGAAATAAAGGCCTTCTCAAGGTAACCATCAACTTGAAAAATGAATCTTATCAAATATCAAGAGACTCATATTCTGTCTTTCATGTTTTCTGAATAATAAATTAGTTGGAAAGAGAAGAAGACAGTTTACTTTCAATTCTTAAAGATTCAAATCTAGATTAAAATTACAGTTGATGGTCAAATCAATTTATTTTCCTGATATAACCAACACAAACATACCTCATGAATAGATAAATTTCAAGACATTTTCTTTGTCAATGTCCTTTGAATGTCAATGAATTTTCTTCCAAATTGAACAATAGTCCAATATTGAAACCAACAAATGACATTCAACTAACAGTGGACATAAATAAATATCACATAATCAATCAATATGTACTACACCTGAATCACTTTAGTCAAGGGTTGTAAACGGTTGATCAAAGTAAACATTGTCAACTTGAGAAATATAAATGTATTCTTACCCCTTCATCATATTCCAATGGCGGTGTTCCATGGAGAGCCCTCAGATAGTTGTGCGTACTCAGGCAATCTTGTCCTAATAAAAGAAATAAATTAACAAATAATTAAATCAATCAAAAGCTATTCAAGACAGCCATTAAAGATGACAGCACATGTCAACTTGGCAAACGATACACTAATTTGGCGCCTTTTACTTGCCAATCATAAATTAGCGCTAACTATGAATTTATGTAGAAATGAATTAAAAATGAAATTTAATGAAAAAAACATACCTTTAATTGGTTGTTGAAGTACTTGAAAGACTATAGTTGTCAGTAACAATTGAACTAACATGTTTAATAGATTTGAAGATGACAATAAAAAGGTGAACAATGTAAGAACTATTATCAATATTATCCAATGAAGGTAAATGCGTAGATGTGTAAATCAAACGGTTGATATTGATTAAAATTGAAATTGAATGATCAACAGGAATAATACAATTGAATGAAGGAAATATTGAACATTAAAGTAAACCAGTTGCAAAGTCAATGGCGATGACAAAAAAATATATAACCATTGAATGTGAAACGAAAGAGTTGAAGCAAAATGAAGCAGATTTAAAAATCAAGTGAAACCTTGTATTGATATTTCTCTGTCTCTCTATTTCTCTCTTTCTGTGAATATTTTGATAAATTCAAGACCAATAAGTATATCAATGAAAAAAGGTAAATAATGATGAAGATTTAATCAAGAAGGTTAAATATGTTAATTAGAAGAAAAAAGAAGAAGAAAATTAGTCAACAATGAACAGGCAACAAATGAAAAGAGTTATTCACAAATGAGAAGAGAAGAGTCGTTTATTGAAATATACAAAACCAGGTACAAACATCTTCTGAATTAACGTGATTCCATGTATTCAGACTAATATTCACTTCGTTTACACCTTTAGGACATTTCACATTTGAAGGCTCTCCTCATCATCGTCATCATCATCATCATCACCATAAGCAACATAATCATGAGTCTCTTTCTTTCTCTCTGGTAAGCCAAACCACAAACCCCTTTCCAACTCCCATAACCCACCTGAACAAACCCTCCTATCTTCATTTTAAAATCTGTTTCCCTCTGTCCATATCAAAATCTTATCAGTTTTTAACTATCTTCAGGGTTGCTCCTTAAACTCTTTGAATCCCTTCTTTTAGCCCGATTTTTTTTCTCATCATATCTGAACCATGATTTACTCAATTTCACGACTCCCACCAAGGTGTACCGTGTATGGTTACATCTGTTTCACTTGATTCTTGTTTAATCAACATTCGCTTTACTTGTCCTTCCAAAGTAAACCCTTAACCAGCTTCATCATCATTTCAAATGATGATAATTATGGTACATTTAACAAGATGAAAAACAGGTAAAAGAGACATTTTAACTGAAAACTGTGGGCCTTTAATGAACGGCACAAGATGCAGTAATTCATAAAATCTTTACTAATTGGCTCAATGATTTATCTTTTCCACCAAATTGATCAATGGATTGTAAAATGGTTTATTAAATAACCTTTAATTTACACAGATTCACTTTGAAGGCAACTTTCAACTTTCAAAGCTTTTGTAAGATTTTTTTCTTCGTCTGTATTTTAAATGTCGCTTCACAACCTGAAATCAGAATGGTCATGAATACTAAATACATGGCTTTATTGACTTCCAAGACTAGACTATTAACGTTAATTTATTCAAAAAGATATTACCTTTAGTACCAAGTGATCATCAATTGAAGATAAAATTAATAAACTTTATTGGTTAACGTAAATCATAAGTATTACTTGCTATTGTCATTACAATTATTATTATGCGTTTCTTAATACAGCTAACTTGATATTAAATATTTTACATTAAATTTGAGTTAACTGTTTATTAGCCATTCATCATATTGTATATTCACATGTATTTTGAGAGGCTCAATATGAGATTTTATTATAATTAAGTGACTTTGTCTGACTTTTATATTAAATATATATTAATATACATTTCAAGTCATTCATTTGAATGTAATCCAATGATATCATCTGATCATTTAAGCATCTCTGGCCATTTTGGACAAAAGTTGTTTCACAAGTTGTAAAAAAAATACGACTTTAAAGCAATCAGATTTACTCTTAAGTCAATCCTTTTCATCAAGATTTCATTTTTCCTTCTGATACTTTCTCATTTGACATGGTTAATGATATACTGAATGTATGTTAGTCAGTGTATCTGTACATTTGTATGTGTATAAAAAAAGGATGATATTTCATTGAGTAAGAGAGAGAGGAGAGGAGAGAAGAAGAAGAGAGAAGAGAAGAAAAAATGCTTCTTTTCTTACCTGATTAATTTGACGATAAAAAAGCTAATAAAATTTGCTCACTAAAATTGATTACTTTTTCTTCATCATAATCATTTTATGAAATTAACGATTGATTTAAAGATTAGACAATGTGTAAGGTAGCATTTTCAATTGTACATTATTCACGTTGTCACCCAGAAAATTCTGATTTTTACATTTTCGAAATGATTGATTGAATCGTGAATATTGAGACCGATGAAAGGCTTAAGTTAACCAGTGTTACGTGAGTTTGAATTTTAGTTTGCTTTACACCATTAACTATCATCACAAAAATCGATGCTAATCAAAACCAAAAAAATTAATTTTTCATTTTGTTGGGCTTCAATTTTACGCAATTTCAGCTCAACTATGAGCTAAAATATTAGCTTGGTATAGAACCTGAATTTGCCAACAAATTCTCATAGTTATAAATGATAAAATATGAAATCTTTAAATATCCAACTAAATTAACAAAAAAATTGAAAGAAACCGGATTTTTTCCCTTCAGTAATTGCTTAGACTTTTTTGTCTCAAATCTTTTGTCGGTCGATACATATTTTGTTTAATTTAAATATTATTGATATTGACTTTAAATGAATCACGTTTAGATGTTAAATGCAATCAAATTGGTTTATATATTAATAGATTAAATTATTTGATTCAAACATTGTCTCACTCGAAATCATTTACAATATTAAATATTACTTTTTGAGACAATTGTTGAACTTTGGAAGAAAATATTATTTGTTTTAATTTCACAGTCTTTTTAAATGAGTGATGCTCCGTATGTACCGAGGGCTTCACGTTTCCAAAGTGATAGATCAACACCTTTTGAGCTTAATTGTGAACATGAGATACGAGGATTAGAATCGGATGGTTGAAGAAAAGCATTTTCTTGGACAAACTCTATTTCATTATTGTCACAATGAATACGAGCATAAGTTACGTTGCGAATTGAATTGAGTTGACCTGAAAAAATGGAAAAAATTAAAAAATCAGTAAATTGAATGAGTGATTAAGCGTTGAAGGCAATTTTAGCTTACTTAAATCAAAGGAAGATGGTTGACCAGCATTTTCAAACCAAAATCGATCCGAAAATTTGAGTCTTCTAAAAGTTTCAGTAATGATACAAGCCGCTGTGGGTCCAACATTTTGACCTTCAGGTCGAGGTTCAAGATTCAGACCAACAACTAAATCAATGTCATCAACAGATGTGTATAATTTTTCAACCAAGGGTAAACTTTCAGGGTAAAAGAACTCGGATAGATCAGAAAAATTTTTGGCTGTCTTGAAACCACAAGCTTCTCTCCATTCATTATAACCAGCTAAGCCATGATCACGACCTCTTTGAATATCGATGCTCACCAAATCAAATCCCCAGGGTTCATCTGACCCATGAGTTCCAGGAGGAAAGAGATGGTTTGTTATTGCCTCCGTAATTATATTATCTGCTGGACAAACGGGTTGACTTAATAATCCATTAATAATGGACTGGAAGACGGATGGTTTTTCATAAAATACCGATGGATTATAATACAGTTTAGTTAATGATGTGTTTCTTGTTACTTTCAGGCTACTATCTCTCAGCTCGATGAAGCCTGGAATCAGTGTATGCAGTCTGAAAGCAGCTGTGGCAAACTCTTGAATAATAGCAGGTGACAAATTCGGATCATAATATTCATTGAAGCCGGACTCAAGAGAGTAAAGGTCATACTTTTTCATCAAGTCAGAGCCTATAAATTATGAGCAAAGATTCATAAAATAAATCTAAATTTGTGAATAATCGTACAATATTGACTTTAAAACTAAAATAAGTTTATGACTTGACTTACCAATAATTAGGGGTAAGAATTCATTGTAAGTAACTTGTTGGAATTCAGCAATCACGATTCTCCTGGCTTCTTGAAAAATTTCTTCATCACTCCAGGCGGGATTCAATTTTTCTAATTCTTTAGCAATTCTGTTATGTTCTCGTAACCAAGTGATATGCGTTGCCATTAAACCCGGTTGTTGATTGACTCTGGAGTCAGCACCCTCAAGACATGCAGTTCCATTGTTACAAATATCATTCTGTGGTGGCAAGATTTGTCCAGAGCTGACAGTTTGATGAGCTAGTTGACCACCAGTAAAAGCTCTCAACTTTTTTGAGGTTTCAAGATTAGAGCCATATACAATTGAAGCATCAACCCATGGGGTTAAGTTGTTGATTTGAGTACGTGGACCGAGAACACAGTTTTCTGGTAAACCAAATGCAGTTCGAGCAAAATTTAAACATGTCACATTATATTGAGAATAAAATGGATCGGTTTCTGGTATAATAATTGGGAAACATGCTGGGTGAAGAGATTTAGCGTCCAATACATTATTAGAAGAATCGCAACACGTGATTGCTCCACCGTTGGGTAAAGTTGAACCCACAACTTGAGTTAAATCATGATCGAGAAATTGACCATAAGCTAGAGCCAGTGTATCCAAGTTGTGATGCGTCATTGGCCTATCTTTGAATAATGTGTTTGACACAAATCGAGCCAAAGGAAGAGTTTTACCAGAAGGTCCACTTAATTTGGGTGCATCAACAGAATCGTCATACTGTGGTAGTAAAACTCGAGCATAAGGTGTCAATACTTTACCCCAGTAAGGATTATCCAGATTGTTACATGAGCCATCAATAGGACGATACTTGGCATATTGATCACACGTGATGTTGTTAGTGCACTTGTCTGGTTCAATTATCTGGATCGATTTGAGAGTATCAACTTGTTTTGGTGTCTTCAGGCCCAGTCTAATAATGCAAAAGATTGGAAAAAAATTAATAGCAAGGAAACATTTTTAAGATACAACATTCATATTGATAGACTTACTTTTTGGATAAACTTAGAGTCAACTGTTGATTATAAAGAGCTTCCTTAGATGACCCAGCATCACTGAGATTAGGAACGATTCCAAGATTGCGTTGATAAATTTCCTCTCGACTCTTTTCCTCACCATTTTCAGCTTGTCTTTTTACACGCTTTGATTCATGGTCAGCTGATATTTTATTGATCAAAGCAACAATTTGATCGCTGTTTAATTGAGCTTCTTCCAAAACAGATCCAAGATCTTCATTCGAAAGTAATGGTTTTGACAAATGTGAACTATCGTCCTGATAAATTGATGCGAGCACTGATTTAGAACCAGGATAAACGTCAACTATTAAAAAAAAGATTAATCTTACATTAAATTTGAGAAAATGGAAACAATCAAATTTGAACTCTTAGCAAGAAGCAATCAACCAACAAAAGTAACTCCATCTACAGAATGCATTACTAATCTCTAACAAAATTGAGATTAATTTTCGTTAAGCTTTTCAAATAAACTAAATCTGATTTCAAAGACATTAATGTTTAACTGTTTAAAATTAACATAATTTATACTTGCCACAATCATCTTTAACTGGACAACATAATCCTAGACGACCATCCAAGGTACAAAAATCCTCCAAATCTTCATCACTATCGGTTGAATGGCAGTCTGAATACAATGAACAAACTGTGCCTTTTGGACACTGAGATTTAACATTAACCGAACCTGACTGCACAACAGTAATTAATGTGAAAATTAAAGTCAACCCAATTGATTTGGAAGCAATCATCTTTAACTAACTTCAAGTCACAATAAAGCAACAATGAGAAAAGTCAATTCATTTAAAGAGTTTAAATTAATTATCCAAAGCAACTGACAAAACCAAATGACCACAGTCACTATTGAACCACTATTGAATTAATCAAGTCAAACAATATAAATACATTTTCTTAACAGACTATCAACTATCAATCTTTAAATGAACAAATTGTGATCAAGAAGAGTTGCCAAGACAATTTGAGAAAATTATTGCTTCTAATAGACAATTTAATGGTAATATTAAATATAACAATATAACAATTAATAGCAAAAATAACAAAAATATTGTTGAAATGATCTTCAATTACCATTGAGGCATTAAAGATGTTAATTGGATCAAACCAATCAATGAATTTTTCATACTTTAATGTTATTACATTTGTTACCTTGGATGCTCATCTAAACATATGATTGTAAATTGATGGTTAATTGTCCCAATGAAAGTAACAATAATTAGAGCCATTTTATTGTGCAATTAGATCTGAATCTTGATCAATTTATCTATTTTGTGTTTCCATCAGCCATCGCTACAATAAAATAAGATGTTAATCAATGAGACAATTGCTAGTCAAACTTGATCTTCAATGGAATGGTTATTTTTGGGGATTCCTCAAGTTTCAGAGTTTAGACGATTCTTTCAATTCTCAATAAAAATTGAAATTTTCCGCATTCTTGTTATTTATGTGAATCAGTCGCTGAAATAACTTTTTAATTGCATGAGATTAAGCTGTATTGAAGTAATTGTGTTATTCATTTTGCACAGTTTTATGTTTTCCAAAGACTTGAGGTTAAAATTGTTCAGGGTTAATCACAGTTGAGTATCGAACGGATTATTTAACATGTAACAATTGATGAAACCTGAAGCAACTAGTCACGGTTATAATGATTAAGTTGATTCTAACATTTTACTGTGAACACATCACAATGGTTAAATCTGGTTAAACCAAAATTAGTTCATGACATCATCTTGGATTGAAATGGGATGAAAAAACTCGCGATCGTTGTTCAATCTGTTAATAACTTAGTGATAAATGTGTCAATAAATTTCTAAATCAAGAGCAATAAGGAGATCACATTTATGGATAGAAAAGGTAAAGATTAAATTGTTCATTTCTAAATCACTTGATGATTCTTCTACTGATTTGGCATTTTTAGTCTCGAAATAAAATCTTCAAAGCAATGATTAACTTTTAAAACATTGAAATGTGTTTATTAAAAAGTGATAATTTTTGTTATTCAAAGTTATTGCCTTGTAAAACAGCCTTGATTTACATTGAGTTTGCATAGATTGAACACACAATCATTTACATTGAAACAGTGATTAGTCAACTTCACCAATCCATCAAAATTGATCCAAATCAATCACTTATTCAGCATCTGAGCGTGAAAAAAAGACAAAAATATCAATAAATAAACAAGAATCAACATGAAAAATCGTAAATCAATTTACCCTTTCAAAGTAAGGAGCTCCAGTTATTGATATTTTCACATTGGTCTTCATTGCCTGATACAATGAGATCTGTAAAAGAAAGCATACAGAAATTAACACTTTTGTTTGAATTTCAAAAAATTCATTTGAATGATAATGCAAAACATGTGAACACTGAAAGCAACTTCATCTGACCGGATATTATAACATTGATTGACACATTCAGTAAACTCATTCAATTAAAGCTTCAAAGTTTCATCAAAAGTTGAATTTGCCAAAACTTCATTTTTGTAAATCTTTACAAATGAAAGCAAAACTGAATTATTCACTTTGAAAACGATCGTAATGACATTTGCTGTGGAAATGTCATTAACCAATTTTACCTGTAAATAAATGAATGATGATGAACGTGCTCAATTTGCTGAAGAAAGCAAATAATTGATGGAAAAATTCGTAAATAATTGTGACTGGAAAAGCAGATGAAACTTTAAATCAATTTACTCATTAACTTTGAACACAAATTATCCAAAAAAAGGTAAAAGTCGAAGAAAAATTGATATCCCATTTTAACTGGGAGTGAAACTGGAAAACTCCCTTGAGCTACATGAAGAAGAATAAAAAAAGCAATAACTTTTTCTTTTCATGAGAATCAAAATTTTTCCTTCTTTTTCTTCTTTTCTGAGAGAAAATTTCACGATATTCAGTAAATGGTTTCGTAAGAAGATGAACAACAAGAAACAAAGTCAACATTGTAATACTTTTACTATTTTTGGATAAACATTTTTTGTTTATCCATTTTATCTGTTATTACATTTTTCCCTTTGCTTCAACTAATAAACATGGAATATCTGTTTACACCAATTTCATTTCATGTCAAACTGAGAACTTTTGATAGAAAATTGAACAATTTTCCGAATCTGGAAAAGTGAATCTTTCAGGCGATAATTTTTATTTGGTTTTTTTACTCTTCCCTTCCTTTCGGCGATTCAATTCATTTCATGATCATGTTAACAAAATATTAACAAAATCAAAGTGAACAGGTGAACATGGAGTGAAACTTCGAGTTCAATTCTTTCATTATCTCTGTTGACCCCTGCTTTTGGCAGAACAAATTTTTTCTCAACTGAAATTCGAATAGAGAATAAACTTTAAGAACTTTTTTTGCCAACTTTTCTTTTGTATTGCAATGAATAAGAAGCAAAGGTTCAATTGAATATCAATTTCCAATGAATTCTCACTTGTTCAGTCATTGATTTATGTTCATTTGAAAAGTAATTTTTATTTACTTTACAATTATTATAAGAAGTCGCAATGAACTAGAAACCCTTATTTACTCTTGATGTGTCAATAACAGGTAACTAATGTTGATATTACATGAGAAAAGAACGATTTATTTAACGTTTTTTTTCGGTTACTATTTGTTCAACAATTTGATGAAATTTGTGAGAAAATATTGAAAAGGAAATTCAATGAACAAAAGCAGTGATGAGTATTATTCATAGAGATTCAGATTTGCTTTTTCCATAAAGGTAAAGATGTTGAATGAAAAATGTTGAAGCTTTTTTTGCTTAAGAATGTGTCAAGTCAATATGTTTATAGAGGATATTGATGGTGATGATGATGATGATGGGTCCAACAATTATGTTGATTATGGTTGGTGATGATGAAAGGTAAGTGAAAGTGGAAAGAAGATGAAGGCAAACTATTCACACTGATTGTTATAACAACATTATTCTGATGATGTTTCATGGTTTACCTTTTTCCTGTTTGCTTCTGTTTTTGATTGCCAATAAAATTCAACAAAAGCAACCAACATGGCAAGTAAAAGACCTCCGATCAAAATGTAAAAACATCCAGCAACGTTGCCCAAAGTTAATTCACTCTGACTGGATTCCTTTTGTGTTCATGAATAAGGTGAATGGGAAAAGAAGGAGAGAAAAGAGCAAAAAAATGGAAATAAAAGTTTAGTCTTCATTTTTATTTGCCCGTTATGAGGTTATGCCAATGCAAATTTAAAAAGTGAAAGGTTTACTCATGTTTTACCTTTCACTCTTCATTTATACCACAAAGAAAAGTTTTTAAAGTCAATTCAAGATGGAACTTTGTTTTCTAAGCAAAAGCACATTCGAAGCGATTTTCAAGGATTTTAACTTCCAAATAGATTTCGAGTTGATCTGGTCAAGCTTCACTCAAGTAAAGGCATTTTAATCGGATACTTTGAAGCCTTTCCCTGAAAGTTGTGAGAAGATGTAAAATGAATTTACCAGCATCTCGATGAAATTGTTTCTCAGTCAATGAGATTTTTGGAATATTCAAATAGAATTATTAATTTGGTTTCTTCAGCAAAGGATGAATTATTAATTTGTTGATTCAGAGTCTGATCAAGAGTTTGATGAAACTGTTTTAGTCTAGTTGAGAGTTTTAATCAAATTGTTTTCTGTCAACAATTTTCATTGCAACATGTAATTAAATGATCAACTGAGCCTGAAAATGAGAAAACTATTTACTATGTCAACCAATTTTCATGATGAATTAGTAAAGACAGTTATTCAATATTAATCAATAGAAGCAAATATAAACTCGAAATGAATCTCAACATGAAGTGTATCAAATGCGACCATTCAAATTGAACATCTTTAAAAAGTCGCTTTTCTTTAAATTTAATCAAAATAATACATTTTCATGAAAAACAGTTTTGCATCTCACTTTTAACAAACTTTCCTTTCCCTGTAAACCCATCAACTCAGTATCCATAATCATGACCTTAACCTATTCAAGAAGCAAGAAAACATAGTCAGAACATTTCGAGATGAATAAATGTTTCATTGATTGTCAGAAGAAGAAGAAGAAGTTGAAGAAAAAAATGTTAACCTTTACTCTTTTTTTCACCAAATCCCTTGGAATGATCAAATAAATAGTTAATCTAAACCAAGTTAAGAAAATTTTTCAAGCCAAACATGAAAATTGTGAATCTAATAACTTGCATGATAAAAAAAGAAGCTCAAATCAAAAAGAGAAATGAGGAGAAGAAGAAAAAAGTTGGAAATGAAAACAAATTGGTTCCTTTTCTTAGACCATCCAAGATGAATTATTGATAGAGTCGACTGTTAATATTTAAACGATTCCCATTAAAAGAAAGTTCATTTGATTTGACTTTTTCTTTTGCCATTTTCTCATGATGACACTTTACCTCGAGTAATCAGAGTAATTACTTGCAACCTGTGACTTACCTTGCTGTCTTTGCTTTTACACTCTGACCTGTCGTACCACCATTTGTTTTCCAATTTGGTTAAATCTCCATTTTCCTTGAGTGCTAATATTTCCAGATTGAGACGAACTCTGAAAAAAAATGAACATACAGACGGTTAACTTGAAATTTCGGTTCGGTTTAGTTGAAATCTTTTTTGTTTCGTTTCTTCTTTTCTCGCGCTACATTGAGCAGTTTACTTTATCGGTGATTATGAGATTCTTGTGCAACTTTGCATCATTTGAATAATAATTTACAGATCAGTTGAATCCCAGTTTTGACCAGGTTTGTTACTGGAAGCAAAATAATGAACCCAAACTTGTTTGTTCATCAATCTGATGAAAATAATGTTACAAGCAACTCTTTTCCAACTCTTTGTTTTTACCTCACTTTATTACATTTACTTTAACCTTTTAACATTGAATCATGAAGGTAAACAACAGGTTCACTGAAAGAAAACTCATAAATTATTTTCCATTCCCTGTGTTTCCAGTTTCTCGGCTAGTTTTGTATTAAATTTGCTTTTTCTCCCTTTTCTACCAGATTAACATGATTGTTGAAACTTGGAGTGAAATGCATAACAGAATAACATTCATTGATCCAGATGAAAAATCCTTAGCAGTCTGCTAAAGATTACGTATTTGGACAGCTTTTCATTTTCAAAATACAGACTTTCTTCAAAATGTTTCAAACAGCAAGTAAATTTTAATTTATTGTTTTCTTTGAAAAATCAGGAATTCTTCTGGCTAATGCTACTAACTGTTACTTGTTTATTGTTTGTGATTGGAACCAACTCAAACATCATATTGAGTTTATTGTTTAAGTTGCTTGTAGACAGTCGAGGTTCTAACGAGTGAATTTCGTTTGCTTGAAACTCGAAGAGAAACACAAAACATTCTTTCATTAGTAAAGAGTGTTTATGCTGTTCAATAATCCTCGTAAAACGACCCAATCATCAAAAGTAAAAGAAGAAAATGTCAAACTTTTCTTTCGATGAAAGAATTGAAACTTGCATAGTTATGGATTTTCATTAACGATCCAATGTATATTTAGACTACTTTTCAAAGTATGCATCACTTTTGACTTGAAAGAGTGACTTCTCTGGTAGCTTAGTCTATAGACAAACTTTTAAAGTCGTCAGTGCATTTCACTAGCAGTTCATGTAAGAGCAGAACTCGACTTGCATTTTTTACTCTCACACTCTAGAAGAGCTGACTGGTCATGTAACCTTGAATGAAACCATTGAAAAGCTTGACCTTACCTTAAAGGTGATCCTAATGGCGTTGCAACACCATAGCCTTTAGCATCCAAGTTGCGTCCAACCTTCATTGTATCACAGGGCTGGCGTTCATTAACATAATCGTTTTGTGTAGACTCGATGAGAAAAGCATATTTTCCCTTTGATTCTCTCACTCGACGAATTCCCTCTGAATAAGTGTCCACAAAAACATTTGGACGTTGCGTCATGAACTCCCACATACGAACATAGACGGCAATTTTGGAACGCTGAGAGACGATAAGAAAAACGCAAAAAAATAGCAAACAATTTGCTAATTCATTAACTTCCATTGTGACAACAAAAATAGCCTGAAAATCGGCGCATCAAAACATTTCAACACTTTCTGTTCTTCATTCCATTTTCGCTTTCCTTCGCCATTTTCAGTCTTTGATTACTTTTACAAGAAACAAGATGAATGCCATCAACTTGTTTCCGGACTCACAAAGATAAAGTCAAATGGTCAAAAGCATTTATCAACATGAATCACGGAAATTGTGAGAAAATAGACAAACTTGAAATGACCTTTTAACTGGAAGCAAAAATGAATCGAAAAAAGTAGTAAAAAAGTTGAAAGATGAGGTCATGATTAGAATTATCTAATGAAACGAACATTAAATAATGGATTATCCGTTTTCACCTGATTACAACTTGTCAAAAACTATTGAAGCAAACCTTTGTGTTTACGTGATGTAACCAGAATGGATTTTGAAGTAAAGAAAAGCAAAACTGAATCCATCATGTAAACCGAGATGCATGATGAAACAAGCGATTTAAAATGAATGTAAACAAATGAAAGCAACAAAAAGTTAAAGAATGAAGAGAAAAAGAAAAGTGAAATGAGAAAAATTTCATGATTACCAAGATTCGGATTTAATGATTAGCTTTTTGAATGAAATCTGGTTCATCAACATTAGTCTATGAAATGAGGCCAAAGAGGGTGAAAGATGAAATGTTTTTCCTCTTCTTCAACTGAACCGTGTTTCCTATCATCAAAGTCGCCCAAGAACAAAAAATCAACTCATTCTTTCGTTTCTCTTTCACTGATGAGGGAATGAGCACAAAAAGGATGTTCAGGGAATGAGGTGGTGATGAAGACGAAGAAGCAAAAAGATTATACAACAGAAAAATGCTTTTACCAGAATCAACTTGAAATTCTCCCGAGAATTCATTCTTTTTGTTGCACTTCATTTTCATCTTCGAGATAATACACTTTGTAACTTGAAAAAACAAGCGAACAGATGAAGACAACTTTCAAAAGATGAGACCAAAAGAAAACATTGAAACATTTTCTTTCCAACATTCAACTTTTCATCGTCGAACTGATTTTGTCTCATCATCATTAACATTGACGTGGTTCACCAACAGTTTTCATCTTTTCCGTCGAAATTCATCATTTTTTGTGTTTCTCTCAAAGCAACAGTTGAACATTCATTGAACCCACAAAGGGAGAAATGGAAACCAAATCAGAAACTTGTCAACTTTGGAACAACGATATTTGAATTGTAAATTTGCAATGAAAATCAAAATTGAAGGTCGCCCTCTTCGGATATTCAACTCTTCAGGGATGGACGAGACAAAATGCTTTATCGTAAAAAATATCAATGAAACTTTAAAGCCAATTAAAGCAAGAATCATTTTAAACTCGAAAAGAAAAGTCAAACTTGGTATAAAATTTTCTTGCTGCTACAAAATCAATGTGAAAGAAACTAAAAGTGGAACAATTAAGATTAAAATAAGAGTTTATCTGAAACATGATATATTGAGAGCCTCAAATACTTTTGATTCACACATTTCGTCAACCGAGATTTTTTATTCATTCAACTCAAATAAAATTTACAAAATAATCATAATACAAGTAAAACTCACAGCTAGACAGATAACTTAGAGCTTAGAAAATTATCGAAAAGTGCTTCAGAAGTTGAGTCAAATCATATTGATATCAAAATATATTGATGAGTTTTCCAGGAAATTCTGGGAGGAATAATCGTTTAGTAAATGAACATGGACAGTTTAACAAGGCAAAAGGGAAAATATCGAGTTTTGAATTTATTCTATTGTCTATCGAAACTCTTTTTTGAAGCCATTTTTCCCTTTCTTCAATCGTTATCATTAAGATCGAAAAGATCTAGAAGTTTTCCTGGAACCAGGATCATGGTCTAAAAAGTACCTACAGCTCATGTTTTTGAGTGCTTTTCCAATTGCCTTCAGACTTCGATTGGAAATCAAATAATCTCGAATGATATTGTAACGAAAAATTGAATGTTATTTCAATCTGGAATGCTCAGATTACAGTTTAAATATGAATTCTGTAGTTGAAATAGTCTTGGAGTTTTACCTCCAGACAGAGAGAAGAGAAACTCCCTGTAAATAGAAATTGATAACAATAATGAGCAGATGAAACTTGAATGAATTGTTAATGCCTTTGAGCAATTTTCATTGGTAAGAATCAATGTCATCGCTTTTGATTATAATGTTCATTTCATTTGACATGACATTTCTAATAATAAACATTACTCGAGGTAAAATATCATAAACATTATGACACAATTTGGTATCTCAATCTTTTCCGTTCAAAATTCACCATTTAATGAAAATTCAGTTGAACACAAGAAGCAGCAAAAAGACCATCAAATGGTCAATCTTGAGTAATGAAATTACAATTAGCTGCAAGAGTAGAACATTGAACAAACGAGAAAAAAAACGAAAAATTTCCAACTTTTCATTCTCTGAATAATCTGATGAAAAGTGAGTTTTAAATTTAATAAAAAAATAATGATTCAAATATTTCATGAAATTCCAATGAAGAAAAAACTAAACCAATTATCATGACAAACCAATAGACGGTTTGAAGAGAAAAAAAAACATTTTCTTTTTGCACTTCAATTCCATTTCGACGATTGTAAAGTGATTAATTTAGAAATGAAGAAAATTCTGAACAGAGAAAAAGAATTGAAACTTTTTCTTATTGCAATTCATGAGAATTCCCTAAAGGGTTAACATTCTTTCCGGATAATAAATGAATGTGAATTGAATATTTAGCTAAACTCAGTTCCTTCTGTCTGACGATCTTAAATTGAAAATTGGAAAAGATGAAAATAGAAATTGCGATTTTATTCTTTTTTCCATGAAAGGTGAATCTTGTGGACAAGGTGATTTTAAATTCAGAATTGTTTTTCCGTTTCAATTAATTTCATGAGAAACTGGAAAGGATCAAAAGGTTTACAGAATTTGACTGAAAAGTAAAAAAATGATCAACTTGATGGTTGCAAATTCCTCAATTTTCATGGTGACTTGAGTTTCAGGTGAATATCATTTGGAGAAAAAAATGTTCATCTTGAGCAACATTTGTTTTGCGCTCGAGACAAGCATTGTATCGAAATTCTGAGTCTTTTCTATTCGATTCAAGATTAATATATAGATTATTCAGTTGCACTTTTGTCATAATCGATTGATATTCTGTTTATAAATAAATTAAGTTTAATGATTCTTTTGCTGTGCAACAATCATGGAAAGGAAAATGAATAAATGAAGGGAAATTCAGTGACTTTCATTGTCATCTTTTGAACCATTAACGTTGCTACATGAAAAATGGTAAAATGTGATTCTTCGTTTTTTGTGCAACTTTTTTTCTCGACTGATCGTTCGTCAATGATCAGCATAATCATTTAGTAAAAGTTGTTGATACATTTTCACTCCAACAACTGCTATTAGTTGAACAATTTTAAAAATATCATAATTCGATTAAGCTCTAATGGGTAAAAAGGATGAAAATTGGGTTTTAGTGTACTTCCAAAGTAGAATCAAAAACGATATTTGATGTCATTATTCAAGTTGAAAGATGAGTTGACGAAACTCGAAAACTGTTACTTCAAAAGTCAGTTGGTGTCGTGAGTGAAGCCAAGTAAATCCTTATAAAGTTGACTTTCAGTCTTAACTTGGAGTTAATTTGTCTTAAAGTAGCTTTATAAGTCTATCAATGTCAGGATCACAATATTCATACACAAACAGTTTAAAGAGTTGCAGAGGTTTTCTGCAACCTTTTGTCTGACTTTTACAGAGTCATGCTAATGGGACAACTGAAAGTTCAATGATTAAACGTTTTGTATTATAAAGGTGATGCAACTGTTTTCATGAAGCTAGCGCATTCGATGAAATATCAAATCAATAAACCATCTTTACGAACCTTACAAATCTAAGACGACTTTGGCAAAATGACAAGTTATTGAAAATAATAAATTAGCTTTGAGGAAAAGCCTAAAAGTTAGTCGAAAAGATTTAAAACTTTGTCTGTGATTATTCTGTGCAGGCTAGCTTTGCACCGGCGAACCTACAATTGGATTTGTCTGTTCGGAACCTAAACATAATTCATTCGCTAACAAAGTTTCCAGACTTAAATGTCTCAGAATTATGCAATCTTTAATCTTGAATATTCGTTCGAAGTTAAACATTACCTCTACTATAATCAAATCACTAAACTGATTCTTTTAGTGAATAGTCTTTGCTTTTATTACGACTAAAGGTCTTCTTCGTCAATAAACATTCATTACAAGTGATTTCTGTTTCGTTTTGTGCAAATTTTCAAACTATGCTTTGACACATAACTCAGGCAGTAACTTTGAATAATAAACTGTTACCTTGAAAAATTCTTGCGTTGAAGAGTCGCGTAAAGCACCATATTCAACTTCAGTTTGTTTGGCTAAATCATCGGCTGAATTGATCGGTGTAACCATTCGTTCAACCGTTAAAAAGGCAGCTAAATTAGCAGTATAAGATGATATAACAATGAGGGTGAAAAACCACCAAGCTCCACCAACAATCCGCCCTGAAATGGATCTACAAAGGACAAATGACAACAATGTTAACACAATTAGAAAAGCAAAATATGCAAAAACATAAACTTGTAACCACAAGGCGTAATTACAAGTTAATCAACTCCATCAATAGCCATTGATCATCACAAGATGCATTATGTAATCAAAGAAACGACAGAATGCTCTAACTGAGTTCATCACAAGAGAAGAATTGGAGAAAAATAAATTCTCCATTAAGTCGACTAAACATTGATTCAATTTATGCGTACAATAACCTTTTTTTGTTGCAATAAAAGCCGAAGAAACTAAAACATTACTAAATCTCAAAAATTAACTTGCAAGTTGAATCGATAAAAACATGAAAAGATATTACAATAATAAAGCTGTAATAATGATGCTCATCAGAATAATAATATTACATGAGAAACAGGGAGAAAAAAGGAAAAGATATATGAGCTGGTGAATAAAGGAGTAAACAGGGAGAAGGAATTCAAGATAATTGTGTTAACAGCAATAGTTAGCAAAATGGAAAGGTAAGAATTTAGTTTAAGCTTCAAGATATATATCATTGATATTTTATTATCATTACGATGGTAAAGGTAAAAAGAAAACTTATTATATTTCTTAATAGTTGTTAGTATTTTTATCCTGTTCCAACTTTTTTCTTCTTCTTTCCTTTCATTTTTATTCTTCCTCTTTTCGTCAGTCATCATTATTTCATGATAGATTGTTGATGGTATAAAGGTGTCTGTATATCAATCCATTTTTGGTTTTCAGCTTTTTCAGCTTTTCTCTTGTAATACATTTTATCCTGTAACCTTTTTTTCCTCTCTCTCTCTACTTTTCGCTCTTTTTTGTTGCTAGCTTCTTTACTACTTAGCATTATCTAAAAAAGACTCCAAGCTATATTTATCTTTACCTCTGAATCTGGATTACATGGGAACAAATTACTTTTAGATGAATACACAAAATATTTCAACTTGAGTTTCTTCCTTTTTTCCTGGCTCCGAGTTGGATTAAGATGTATTAAGAGAAAAGTCGAAAAAAGACTAATTCTAATTGCAATTTAATTATCAATTTTTTGTGCCTTTGATTGAGTTGGAATGGTTTTTTGGAAAAGAAATGGGCAAAATTTTTTTTTGTACAATGTTATTGCAATGTTTGTCTGAAACATGTTCAATGAGTAATCTGAATGATGCTTAAATTGGATTAACTTGTTGACTCATGAGTAGATAAACTGATAGTAGCGGTACAACTCAGGGTTTTAACAAAAGGTTTGCCACTTAATCGGTTAAAGTATATCCTAGCTACTAGACTATATCGGAAGGTTAAAGCTTTTGTTTCGTCATCAGGTTTAACCAACTTTGCTTTGCTCACTTTTCGTTTGTGTTTTGCAACTTTGGAATCGAGAAGAACAATCCAAACTTTTGCTGCTCAAAATTCGCAATCGAAAAGGTTTGAAAATTAGATTAATTAAATAAGTTCGTTTCTGTCGGAAGATTAGGTAAGATTTTCAAAAATCGAATTTCTACCGATTTTGAATAATATTGCGAAGTCTTACAGACAGTCAAAGAACATTCAGTCCAAAACTCCGAGATTTTGTAGTTCACTCAAGAAGCAAAATTTCATGAAATTGTAAAAGAATATCCAAAATTCTAAAGCTAAACAATATTTTCAAAGAATATTTTGAGATCAAACTTTCATTCTCTGTAAGTCTAGATAATCATTTGAAATTGTTATTAAATTGCATTGCTCAGTCGACTTTTTCCCATTGAATGAAAATTAGGAAACAAACATTGAAAATTAGCTCTAGGTGCAATGAAAAGGGACGAAATGCTCAGTCTAGAAGCGAAATGTTGATTCTATCCAAAACTTTCATCAAGGTTATGATTTTGCAAAATGTTTCGAGTTGGTAAACTGATCAATAGTTTACTGGTAAACCCACCTAGGGCAAACATCACAGCTTTGCTGCATAATGGCACCAAGTGAAAACCAAAGGCTATTATAAAGGGAAAAATCATTTGTAACTGAAGGACCAGTCAACGTTTCCTCGTATCTCCATTCGTGCGGAGAGAAACGGGAAACTAGGAAAAGTACAACTGAAACTCCAATATAAGACAATATAATGCACATCCAAATCTCTTGACTCAAAGGGTTCATAAATGAAAATATTCCTGGATTTTTTTTCGCCGGTTTCTTGATCATTATACTGATTCCAAGGGACATGAAAGGTTTGGTAAAATCGATTACTCGTTCACGAGCCGATGTTATGGTTAATGGAGCGATTGCCATATCCGCTTCCTATTGTTGGAATAGTGATGAATGTTTAAGATGACAATACAAATGAAAAGATCAATAAGGATAGAAGCGAGGAAAAGGAGAAAAGTTGAACAGGAGTAAAAAAACGAGAAAGAAAAAGAGGAAAAATCTAATGAGAATCATGAAATTTCAATTGAAATGAGCAAATGATAAACAGGAAGGAAGCAGGGAATGCAAAATGAATGAAACTTGTTAAATGTTGAACAAACAAAAAATTACTAACTTTAATTGTAAGCTAGAAAATTATTGCTTTCAGAAAATTCGTTTGGAAAAGGAAAAAGTGAAGAAAAGAAAAATAAGAAAACTAACTTTTCGTATCAATTCGCCAACCATTCCGTTCCACCCTGCTTCGGATTTTGGATCAATTCCACCATATTTTTTGTCTCGAACAATTTTCATTGTATAATTGATTCCAATCTTTTCACTTATCAAATCAGCCAAGTCTTTACAGTAACCTTCAAACCTTTCATTACCTTGTAAGACAATCCCTTTCTCAGCTTTTCTCATCATCAAGTAAGGTTCTTCCTGTGAATGAATTTTGAGAAGAGAAGAGAAAATTTGAAAAATTCGAGATCGAAAATGATCGACAGTTGACTCACCAAAATACTGGTAACAACATAAGTCTTATTGAGCGAAAGATGATCTTGAGGAATTCGTTGGTGTTTCGTTGGAATCAGTGTTACACTTCCGGACGGAGTCCAATCTGCAATCTAAGAAAGAATGAAAAGTTGAATTTGAATGGAATATTTGAGTTGAAAAATTCTGAAGTTTATTCAATTCTTCCTTTCGAAGTTTCTGCTTGAGAAGTTTTACAAAAACATTTCATTACCTTTGTCATAACACTGTTGATGGTCATGCGAACAATATCTATGTGGAAATTTGTGCGAAATCCATTTTCATCGAAAGATAAATTTCCAGTTAGACCAGTCATGTTTGTCTGACCAAATATTGCATTTCCAGTGAAGAGGAAAAGATGGCAAAATATATACAGTTAGTCTATCATTATGTTTGGATAATTATTGCTTTACTCAGTTTGTCGTCAGGTAAAGAAATTCATCAATAAAAGAAGTAAAATGTTGTCATTCGATATCTTGATAAATAATGAATACCTTTTGCATGTAACGGGCAATCTCTTTTCCATGTTCCCATGGAATCAGAGGCTGCATTTTACAGTCAATCCCACGCGTTCCATTATTGTAAACTTGTCCACGTCTAAAGTTGTTGCGAAAAATGTCTGGCTTTTTGCGCAGTAGACGGTTGAGAGCATCTAAAATGACTCGGGTTCCATCAAGCATCAAAGCAGACTCAACCTTTACCATTGAAACAGATATCAATATAAATTGCAACAAAATTTAGTAAAGAAAGGGAAAAATTCTTACCGATAAACTGCCTTCTTCGTCGATGGATCGATTGACAAGACCAAGTAGTTTGATACTTTGAAAGAAACGCTTGTATTCATCATTATAAGTTTGTAAAATGCGAAATCCAGTAATATTAACAGCACCAAACTCAAGAACGTGTTTATTGAAAAAATCATCCATAACCTGTTCGACAAACACGGAGAAGAATAAATTACATTTTGCAAAATATTCGAAGCGAAAAATCCGAAAATCGAAATTTTCTTTTTTAGAACACTTTTGATCGCAAATTGATCAATTCTGGTTTTTCTTTAACCAATTTTTCATCCAAACTTTCGATTGGATTTCAAAGTTTTTTTTTCTTTCGTTTTTCGCAGAAATTTTTTATCGAAAGTTAGTCTTTGTAAGTGAAGATGCACTAAAATGGACAGTTGATCTGTCATCGAACGCTGTTAGAGTATGGAAATTGGCGATTCTGTGGAAAATTTTCTTCGAGAAGATATGCTAATCGTACTTACAAGATTTGTGAGTAAAAAATGAAAGTTTCTCCTTCCCATGTAAATATCTCGAACATGATTAACAATAATGTCTTTAGCAGTTACGGCATCGCAATCAAGAACAACATATTTCCTAGATTCAGGATCAGCCATTTCGATTGAGGCAAGAAAGGCATGAGCATCGGTTGCATTGTGAATGCGTTTAACTGCACGAAGCTCCAAGGTATATTCATCATTAATTAAACTCAATATTTGCTGCAATTTAGACAAACCTGTAAACCACCAAAAAGCACACGAGAAAAAGACGCAAAATTTCAGATCAACTCATGTTTAACTTTGAATGGAATTGAAATTTTTTACTCAACATTAACTAAAAAGTAAATTGATAAAGACGGAAAAAAGGACAAAAAAAGTTTAAACCAGAAAAAAAAGTAACAAAAAGTTTGAGCATCAACAATGAAGAGCAAAAGCATGTTATCATGATTTGAATTTTTCAACTTCATTTTCATCTTCCATTCACCCAATGATTCTTTCTTCATCCACTCTTGATATTGTTTAGCACAACATTTGTACATATCAAAGTTATCACATTATCATTACCACAGGAAATGAGGTTTGCGTATTTTGTTAATGAGTTTAGAAATGGAATGACGAAAAAAAGAGGAAAAAAAGCAAATTTAATCAAATTGTTGGAAGTTGGTTGATGAAGAGAGAAATAAATTTCTTGCTTGGAATTGCAAGAGAAGGCAAAACTTGAAATGATGATAGCATTTAGTTAAATGCTGTATAATAATAACTGGTAATTAGTCATTATAATAATGATAATGAAGCCGCAAGTTGAACATTAATATGAACCATTTGTTATGTTTGCAGACAAATTTTCATCATTCTTTGTGTCTGCAGATGAAGTTTCACGTTTTTTTGCAGATAAAATCAGAATCTAATGTATTAATCTTCATTGATAATGATGTAAATTGCAATATCATTTTTGCATCATTTGTAAGGTTAAGAGCATTGTAAGCAAACTGTAAGAATGTTTATATTGAAAAGATTGTCAAGTGATAACAACTTGGAGTTAAACGAGTAAAAGTGAAGAAAAAAAACTCGACTTGATAACTCAACTTGAGAATTGATTATCTGGCAAAAAATATCAAAAAATGATTTCTTTTCTATTCTAAGAATCAATCTGTTCAATCTCATTCTCATCATGTTTTATCAAACAATGTTGTTTCAATTTTGTCCATTTTTAGAAACTCTTTTCGTCTCCTCGAGTTTGCTGTTATTGCGAGTTTGAGTTCTACTCGGAAAAGTGATATTCATTCCCTTGGAGTGAGAATGCTGTCAACTGCCTCGAGATACTTTACACTTGATTTGTTTATTCAATGAGCGAACAAGATTGTTGGAACGTTTCGAAAGTTGAATTTTGAAAATTCGAAGGGAGTTTGTTTTGACGGATGAAAAGGTGATGCAAAAAAATGTTGGTTTACAAAGAAAAAAAAGAACCGCAAAAAAGTGTTTTTTTCTTCTCTTGGAATGAAAATGAAGGATGAGTTTTTCATGATGATAATGATGAAATTGATGAAAAAGAATGAAAAAAATGAACATTTAACAGGGAATGATGAGGCAGGGAGGTAAAAAATAATAGTCCCTAAAGTGTATTGATAATCCATCATTTCATTTCTCTATTATTTATCTCATTCCCTGTTAATCTATCACACTTTTAATACCCTGTTTTTATGAGCCAAAGGGAAGAAGAAGGAAAAATGTTTCATCAAACTTTACTGTTTGTTTATCACTTTTTTCATGTTTATCGAGAGCAATGTTGTTGGTGAATGTAAAGTCGAAATGTTTGAGAATTTTTTTGTTGAGAGCAGAAAAACTCCCAGTCAATGTGGGAGTGAAAAGTAAAGATAGAATCTAGAAAATTTAAAATCTCTTTTTCGCTCATGAATTTCGTTTTCTGGTTTGTGGATAAATTTTTTTGCTTTCCTCAACTTTAGCAAACTTTTCAATTTTTAAACTTTTCCATCAAATGAACGGTTTAAACGTTAATCCGTTGAACTTTCAACACTGTCTGTGACTTAACTCGGTATTTTCAGCTCAAGTTTTAATCAAGAGAACAAAATTAAACTCGAATTGTGATGTGATTGAAAAATGTACGAAAATCGAGTTCTTTTCGAGTCTCAAGTTGAGGTGAAAATTTTGTCTAAAGTTGAAGTTATTTCGAAGTGAGTGAATTCAAATGAACGAATCAGATAATCTTGTTAGTCTAGTCATGTAACTAAGCAGCCAATAAGGTAGAGCCAGGTATAGCCAATGATGAAGGAATGTGAAATAAAATGATATTTTCTCTCAATTATTGATGGATTTTATTAATAAAGAGGTGCAACTTTTTGAAAACATTGATCATAGTAAATCATAAATAAGAAAGTCGTAAAGTCTTAATATCCTGATAACTTGATAGACCATCAAATAATAATAAACCTGATCAAACAGAGGGAATGGCGAAAGTGAAAATATTAATAACATTTGAGGAAAACTAATATCATAATAGTGCTAATAATAATCATCTGATGGGTTTGGATGTAAAAACTGGTGGGAAATGTGTGGCTTTACTTGTAAGTTTACCAGAAATGCTAGTCTTTGGTGAGTAAAGACTGTTTGGATCGACAGTTTTGAGCAGATTCAATTGACTTTCAAGAGGTTGATGCAGACTCGAGAAAAAAGAATAAAAACTTGTCCATTCAACTTTCAGTGTTGAAATTGCACAGGGAAACTGGGTGAAGGAAAAGCAACAGAAAATGACATACATGATGTGCAGGAGAAGAAGAAGAAGAAGAAGCATGAAGACGGAAAAGAAATTACTGAATAAAGAAGAAAAAAGTTGAATAAGAGTGAATTGCAAGTCAAGTATTGAGCTTGGTAAAGATGAGCAACTGATAAAAGTGAGTAAAGACTGTAAATATAACGAGAGGCAACATGAGCCTCCAGGGGATGAAAATTGGAATGGTTGAGTAGAAAAGCTGTCTTGAATAGAGGAGAGAAAAAGATGAAATTATTGCTTGACATCTGAAAATGTTGAACCAATTATCATTGAAACATTGACAATGAAACAAAACTGAAACATTAGTTAACAATTAACAGTTTGATAGATAAACTCAAATTCAATTAAATTGAAAGCCATCAAGATTAACCAGAAGCATCCACCGACCCAGTTTACACAAGACAAGATGACGATTCAGATTCCAAACTGCCTTAAAAACTCGCAATTTTCTTGAAACAGAAAAGTTTCTTTTTATATCTTTTCGCGTCTTTATTGATAAATTGATATTAAAGCTTTCGATATGAAAGATATCGAAATGCTGACTATTTCGAACAATCGAAAGACAGGTTTTGAAATATAAACTGCAATAGTTTTGTAAATTAAAATTCTATCATTTTTATCGAGCATGAGAATTAAATTTTCTACAGATTTGATCTTTTGTTTCACATTCAATTTCCATGATGAATATGCATAAATCAAATAATAATAACGGCTAATATGTTTGTAGAATGATTGATTGAAATGAAATGTTCTGGCAAAAGAAAAAATTGTGTATTGACTTTGGAGAAATGTTTCTGTATCAAAGACAAAATTGTATGTTCTTTTTGATAACAATTTGAATACTTTTTCGCTTCGTTGTTATCAATAAAGTAAACACTTTTAGATAATAGCATTTTGTTGATGAAATGAAAATATAAAAAAAAGAAGAAACAAAGTTAAGTAAAAAAAGTGGAAAAATGTACTAAATAATGTTCAACAACTTTTCATTCCTTCTAATAAAACTAAATAAAAGAATCAAGTTTTTCAAGATAATGCTGGGAGTGATTGGAAAGTACATAAGAAGTGGAAAGAAATGCTTTTTTATCGTTTGCTTTTCATTTGTTAAAGAAATGTTTGTCTTTAAAACTAACAAAAGAAATGCTTGTAATTGAAGATTAACAGATTTACAGAACACTTTTATTCGTATTGAACATTGTGAATATTTGATAAGAAGATGAAAAATTTTCGCTTGATTGGAAACTAGCTGTTGGCTGAAAAACAAAAAATTTCAAGTAAACCATCGATTCTCAAAGTCGACTTTTAAACAGTTTAATGTTGAGGCAAAAGAAACGTGAAAATGTTGACTTGCAAGTAAAGACTTTAATACTTGAATCAACATCATGAATATTAATGTGAAATTTTTTTGTTTTCCCATTTTCTTTGGACTTGAATTTTAAAACTAACAATTTATCTCAATATGAATGCTATGAATAGTTGATTTAATTAAATTCAAGATTAGTCATTTATCAATTTTCGATTGAATCTTTTTCGACTTTTCTCTGGATTCACTTTTTTCCTTTTCACTTAAAATATTTTCATTTTTCTTTTCTTCTTCTTCTATTATCATGATTGATGGATGGTTAAATTAAAGTTGAAAATGAAGTAAAATTTTGATACAAAAATCAAATTTAATTTGAATGATGAGTTAAAGAAGGAAAAATTATCTAGAAAAAGTACAATGGAAAAGTAAATCGAAAAATGTTTTCGAAATTCAATGAAAAGTGGAAAAGTATTCATTCGAAGTGAACTTTTATTAAAGCATTTTATTGCCTTTTACATGAAAGGAAAACATTTCTTGTTCGAACATTTTTTTTGTTCTAAATTTATTGGTCATTTCGATTGGCTATTGGAATGAAAATTTACATTTTGCTTGGAAGTTGGAAAATATTGAAAATTTGAAATTTCGACCTTCAACTATTCTGATGAGGCTTTAATTTGTTCACTTGAGGAACAGCGAAAAGGAGTTTTTTCATGTTGCTTGATGAACCATTTGTTCATTGACTGTAAATGATATTATTAAAGGTAAACATTTACCTTGTTCAGTTGTGTGTTGAGTCATTAAATTCAACTAGTGTTTCACTTTACAACAGAATTACTTCTTATCGTAATTTAACAACTTGAAAAAGGGAAGAGAAAAGAAAGGAAAAAAAGAAACAATTGGAAAATAATTCACAACAAAATGCTATTCTAAATGTGCTCTGAATATTTCGAGTAAAATGAATTCTTTGATTCAATTGAGCAAAGAATTGATGGCGAGAGAAGGAAAAAGTTTGTTAAATTCAAAGTTCACAAATTAAGGGATAAAATTTGATAAAAAAGATTGAAGTAAAAGAGCAATTTATGAAAATAAAAGTTGATTTTGCATTTGTAAAAATAACATCAAGATAACCAATAATTTAAGTAAACTTT